ATGCATTATCTCCAAAGATGCACAGTCCCTTTTTCATGAATCCTTCCTTTTCAATCTGGTGGTGCAGCTTGCAGGACGTCCAGGCGAGATAATCAGAGGTTGATCCAGGATGAGACACATTTATGTCAAGAAACCGTCGGTGAGCATCGCATGTGGCTTGCATGTTGAGCCCGTATTTCTTTTTCCTTCCACAAAAAAACTTCTTCGGACCACACTCTGCCATCTCACAACTCTCTTCGCTTGGCCTTTCTGTCCAGATGAGAATTCCATCCACTGCGCCAGAACAACAGTGGAAGACTCCACGGCTCAGTTTGTTGAAGCCGTCGGCGATGGTTTGTTGTTCTTCATGACTGGATGGATAAGAGAAGTCAAGCTGCGGGCATTTGTTCACCGCATCTACTGTCTTCCAGACTGAGCGGTAGACATCAGTATGACCCATTCCGTGGACAACAGAGATGTCATAGGCGGCTCCACCAGCGAAGTACCTGATTGCACAGCTGACCCTGCTTGGCATGGGGATTAATCCATTCTTTGCGCCGTTCTTCCATTTCTTTCCATGTCCAGAACAGCCCTCCATGTACGGCTTCAACAAGCGGACAAGCTTCCAAAAAGAAGCAGGCTCCATTCGGTAAGCACGCCTCACGTAGTGGGGACCAAGTTCATTGAAGATGTCATTGACGAACTTTCTCTTTCGATACTGATGAGGCTTTCCACCTCCACGGTTCTCTTTCTTTTCACCAAAGACTTCAGCATCAGCTAAGGAAAGCAAGGCCACTGTGGCCTGGGCGAAGTTGCGGTAGCCTTCCACTGCGTGGCTTCTGGTGGCTGACACCAAAGGTAAGACCAATGTCAAGAGAATAACAGCCGAACAGATAAACATTGTCTAATTTTACTTCTTGTGTCATGGGTGGCGAAGTCAACAATCAACCAAAACATTCAACAATCAACAAGAAAGCAAGCAGGTTGGCATGCAATTGGATCGCATTGGGAATCCCTTGGCACTTGGCGGTGGTGGGAGTCCCAAACTCCGATTTAGCCAGTCAGTAGTTGGTGACGTAAAATGGGAATTCATTTGGGGCCTCATGGAAATGGCCTCCCAAAGTCCGAATTCGGTGGTGGCCAAAAAGTTGTTGGGACTGAGCCTAATCCTGGCCCTCGCTGGCGGCTAACGTAGATAACCTCCCTACGCTATAAAGCCCGCTCAATTGCCATCGTATGCCATCGTCCCCTCCACCCTCCACCAGCCACGATGTCATGATCTAGCCAGCTGGTAGGTAGGGTTGCTAAAACTATCTAGCTAGCTAGCTAGCTAGCTAGGCCCCCTCTCTGGAAGGACTCTTGAGTTCGCGAGTAAGCAAGGCAGCAGAGAGGGAATGGATCGAGGGCAGCGCTATTAGGACTATTGCCCAACATCTAAACGTGATTCGATTCCACCGCAGTAAAAGGGGGTCCACTGCATCGCATGTAGCTACAGTGACTGTACCTGGTACTAGTAGCTAGTTGCTGAAAGGCTTGATGGCTGCAGGTGCATTGTTGCATTCGCGGCTGCAGCTGCCGCCTTTTTCTCTTTCTTCCTCCCTTCTTCGTCAAGTTGGGGCGGTTGTTGTCTGGGTGCTTGTCGCGGCTGCTTTGAGGGAAACCCCTCGAGGCTCGAGCAAGGTGGGAGCTGTTCACGGCTTGGTAGCAACTTTGCCCCAAGGAGCAAGTGTGCGCTTCGCAATTTACAAGATTATCCGTTATGTCTTTGAGCGTCCATAAATCTTCGCCTCCAAAGAGACGGAGTGCACAAAGCGGAAAAGCACAAGGCAAAGAGACTCCTTCACCATGGCCATCACGGCCTCTTGGAGCAACCACTAAAGTCCAAAATCAACCACCAACAATCCCCCACCATGAGCTCCCCTGTGTCTATCAGCAAGAAGCGCAAGAGACCGCCAAGTGACAATGATCGTCGAAAAGCTCTCCGTATGGTCGGTGAAGACCCCAATCTTCTTGGCGGAGACCTCCATCATTTCAACGACGACAAGGAGATTGTCTTGGCAGCCGTGAGTGAAGATGGCAGTGTTTTGCAACACGCATCGCGAAGACTACAAACCAACAAGAAGATTGTACTGGCCGCCGTACAGCAAGATGGTGCTGTGTTGGCAATGTCCTTTATTCACTACAGTTTCCGAGACGATGAGGATGTTTGTTTGGCAGCCTTGCAATCTTTGTCGCCCGAAAAGTCCCACATTCTGCAGTGTATTTCCCCCACACTCCGAGACGATAAAGAATTCATGCTAGCCGCGGGACGATTGTGTACCCACTATGATCCATTTGTGGGCTATGCTTCCGAACGACTGCGCAACAGCCGGAGATTTATCCTCGCTGCATTGGAGCAAGGCAATGCGGCACTCAAGCATGCATCACAGCGGCTCCGAGACGACCCGAAAATTGTCCTGCGGGCCGTGCATCACTCTCCCAAAGCACTCATTCATGCGTCGTATCGATTGCAGAAGGATCGGGACATTGCCATGGCTTTGGTGGAGAATGCAAGCAACACGAATCACAGCATGGAATCGCTCATTCAGGATAGGTTCATGGGAGACCGACAATATGTCTTGGCGGCCATTCACAATGCACGCACCAACGAAGTCTTTGCGCTGTTGAAACGAGCCAGTGGAAACTTGAAATCGGATCGAGAAGTAGTGCTAGCTGCCGTTCGAAAAGACGGCAATACACTCACGTTGGCATCGAGACGCCTCCGCAACGACAGACGGATTGTCCTCAAAGCCGTCAAGCGAACGGGACATATGTTGGAGTTTGCCTCGGACAATCTGCAGGATGACGCGGAACTGGTCCGAGAAGCCATCCACCAGCATGGTGGTTGTGCTGGTATATTGGAGCACGCGTCCGATCGTCTGCGCTCCAACAAGGGCTTTATACTAGACGTTACAGACGGGGATGGTCTTTTGATCCTACAATACGCATCCGAGGAGCTACACAATAATTCACAAACGATTGCAAACGTTATCAAACGGGCTGTCTTTCAAGAATTTCAGAAGGACGGCGTGGACAATGCGGACCTGTTTCGAAAGTTGCCAGAACGTCTCCGAGATGACTATGACGTGGTCAAGGAGGCTATCCTGGGCGATGTCGATATCGGTCGCTTTTCTCCCGAAATGCTCCAGTTTGTATCACCGAGATTGTTGAACGATGCCTCCATTTTGAGAAAAGCCATTCGCCGTCAACGCCATGATCTCAAAAAGGTGGGTGTCTTACAACCCAGCGCCGGGAATCATGCGTTGGATTTTGTACCCATTCACAACATTCGAAGAATGCTCGAACTCCAGGAAGTAGCAGAGTTCCCATTGCGCTTTGAGGAGCTGCCAGTGGAACTACGCAACGACAAGGAGATTGCTCTGACGGCCGTCCGCCAAGACGGAAGGTTGCTCCGGTTCTGTTTGCCAGATCACCAGGATAGAGAGATTGCTTTGGCGGCCGTGACAGAGAACTGCCAGGCAATCGAGTACGTGTCCGAGTCACTGCAATCAGACAACGAGATTGCTCTATCTGCCGTTTCAGGGGATGGTCTGCTTCTGAGGTACTTGCCAAGTTGCAACGAGAAGAGTATTGTCGTTGCTGCAGTGTCACAGAACCCGAATGCCATCACCCATACGTCGGAGGCTTGGAAGGCCGACAAGGAGATCGGTCTGTTGGTTGTTTCGCAAGATGACTCTGGGTCTTTGATTCAATATTTGGACGCGTATGTGCGTGCCGATAAGAAGGTGGCTCTGGCTGCCGTAAGGAAGAATGGAAATGCTTTCCAGTATCTTCCAGAGCACACGCGGGAGGACAGAGAGCTTGTCCTATGCATTCTTGAGAAGAGCGACAGCCAAGAGATGGCTAAAAGCGTCCTCGCCGTCCTCCCACACAGCCTCAAAGCAGACAAGGAGGTCGTTTTGGCTGGAATGAAGCACGATGGCGATTTCTATTTTCAATTGTACGGGTCACTGGCGGCAGACAGGGACGTGGTCCTTGCAGCTTTAGAGAATTGCTCCAAGGGGGTGGTGGAGCAGCTGGTTCAAAACTTGGACGATGCTCTGACCACAGATCGGGAAATTGCAATGGCCGCTGTCAAACGGAATGGTCATTGCCTGTGGTATTTCGCGGAGCTAGTGGATGACAGGGAGATTGTACTATCTGCGGTGATTGCGGATGCATCTGTCATGCAAGATGTGGAAGAACATTGGTCAGAAGACCCAGAGTTTGCCTTGGAAGCTGCAACACAGAACTTTCTTGTCACAGAACACCTGGAGGAGCCGTTGAAGACTGCCCTTCGCAACGATCCTGCTGTTGTAGCACAAGTAGTTCGATATGGTGGCGGCCAAGGTACCGGTGCCCAAAGATGGTGGAGAAGTTTTGTTGGTGAGGATTTCAAGAAGCTTTTTACGCCAGCAGTTGTTGCTCTCAGGAAAGTTCTTCCGGAGACGGAGGGGGGCGATTTCGACGTCATGACAAGTTCAGATAAAGCAACACAGGTTTCAGCAGGCATGATTCTTAGCTTGAGGATGGAGTCTTGGCACCTGTCTCCGCATCTGCCGACCGATGTTCAACGGCTCATCCGTGGTTACGCGGGCATTGATGAAGACATGAGAGTCGCGGAAAGTATCCAGCACTGTGCTCCAGTTATTGGCGCATTCGCTGAAAGAGGATTCCTATGGTCGCACATTCGAGTTTCTCCGTACCTGTACTCGCAACCGTCTGAGGTAGAGGATCCGGAGGCGGAAGAATCGGATGCCTGAATGCCAATCGACATCTTCAACCATTTTACCATCTCTCCCAGCAAGCAGAATGCCAACAGCTGATATCAGCAAGGGCATGGTTGGCCTAAGCTTAGAACCATAGCCATAAACTCGTACTGTAATGTCTGGGCTTGCGACATTGTTCAATCTACCGTGAATTGCCGTGTAATCGAATGATTGAATCGAATCATATGATGTTGTCGTGTTGCGGCTGCGGATCCAAACCAGACGTAGTGCCGACTTCGAGACTTGATTGTCAAGGTTATGGTGAAGCGTTGCGAAGTCCCAACCAACAGGTACCGGTATGCCTCCATTTTTGCTATAGGGTTCTCAGCTGGCCGATTCGTCGTCTGCCGACTCAAGGATGGTTATTCGCCCAGGCCTGTTGATTTGTCGTGATGGTACATGTACATGTCGTCTGCCGAGCGCTTAGTCGGTGACAATTCATTTTTAGTCATCGGCAACCGAGACCACCGGGAGGGGATAGCATTTTCGTACAAAAATCTCATCCACACGAGATCGATACAAGTCTCTATCATGGGGCCCGAATCCTCGTGGTGTCCTGGATAGGTTGTCGTTGATGCCTCCGGTGCGAATGGGCCAGTTTGTATCATCCAAGATGAGGCTGGTGCCCATGTGTTTTCCATTGAAATCCGGAATCATGTTGGCCACACAATCGTATTCGTCTTCAAGTTGATTCATGTATCGATAGTGGTTTTGTGGGTTGGCATCATGACAAGGAAATTTGTGCGAATCTACCGCCACTCGAGGAGCTCCAAAGGTGATGATTGTGGGGTTGTAGTGTCTCAAGTCAATGGATGCCACGACGGCAATGCTTCCGCCCTGAGAATTGAATCAAAAGTGAGCCGAACTCGTTGGTGATGGTCCAGGCAATTATCACGCCAATGCATGCATGTGTTCTGACCACTCGTTTCCTTACCTGACTGTATCCACCCAAAAAGAGTGGACACTGACCTGTGCAAGAGGCAACACAGTTATCTACCTGCAGTGTGGTTGTTCATTCATATTGTGAGTGCAGGTACCGGTACCGCACAGGGCAGCATGGGCTTGATCAAGAATGCTGCAGCTTTTGACGCACCTCCGTAATGAACTCCTCGTAATACTTGGTAAAATATCCATTCTTGTACCCACTCCGAACAAGGCAATCGCTGTCCTTGACTCTGGCGCTAAAGATGTTGGCATTCTGGAGGTAGTCTAAGCAAACATGATCTGTGAGCTCCACTGAGCAGGCAGCAGCCCAACCTTGCATTGCACTCACTTACCCAATGGATTCAAACTATTGGTCCCCTGAAACAGCGCAAAGCAAGCAGGTGTGCTTGTTTTGGACTTGGCTACCAGCGTCTGGTCATTCCAATCGGACCAACAAACGAGCGTCTCGTAGGGTTCCTTTTGTTCTGGCGTCAGGTCCTGAATGGGACCGGATTCACTGCATGTCACCAATAGGAGCAAATCAAACAAGATCTTGGTGTTTTCAATGGTCTCTTTGGTAATGTTAAAGACAATGTTGTTGTTGGATGGATAGTCCGGACACCATTTTTGGAGTTGACGATGACGAAGATGTGGTTCTGATAATGAAGAGGAGGATTCGTGTTCTTTCAGGGGTGATATTCCAATGGCATTGCTTTTCACCAAGTTTCCACTTGATAGCAGCAACAAAGAAACTGATGCTAGATTCTTGAGTAGCTGCATTTGATTCGATTCATTCCTGATTGTGCGCCATGAGCCTTGGACTGTTGCGGTTCTACGTAGTGAAGCTTCGCGCGAAAAGGGCGCATGCACCTCTGCAGCCCCGATTCCTCACTTTTGTTCTTTTAGAAGGCACCATAGGCACAGTCACAGGCCAGTCCACATGAGCTGATGTTGTAGGTCACTGAAAGTAGCTCTCGAGTAGCCCACAAGATATCGATTCAAGAACTTATCGCGTGAAGATCTCACAGTCTACCTGTATGGACGAAACGTGTGCCCGAGATACAGGTAGGCGGTGGACTTGGAGATGTGATAGGATCAGGATCCAACGGTTGATCTTTTTATTCTGTGTGCTTGGCCTCTTGTCGCCCTGCTCTCTACCCGTACAGTACCATGGTACCGACACCGGTACCGATGCAAGCCAACAGAGCGAGTATCTTAGTGACGTGTTCTCAGAACTTTCTCTCTTGTTCTGAGAAACCTGACTTTTGACAATGCCATTGGACGACTCCAGCTGAATAAGGACAATGTAAGGAAGACGTCAGAGCAACTCGACTTTCTCATGCAGAGCAAACCATGGGCAGGCAAAAGGCATCTTCTCACTGAGAGGTGTGTCCATGCAAGCAAGACGTCAGAGCAAAGTCTTTCTCATCCGAAGCAAAACATGGGTAGGCAAAGGCTTTCTTGTTCTCACAAAACGCAAGCTTGTTCCGGAACACCAGAGACATTACACCAGTATCTAGATCTACCACCATGAAGTCCTTTGCCGTTGTTTCCGCTTTGTGCCTGAGTGCTCAATCCGTCGTTGGATTCGCCCCTCTCACTACTGCCAATGTCGTCAAGTCGTCGGCTCTCTTTGAGGCTTCCAGTGGCCGATCGTCGCAATACGTCGATGAAATCAACAAGTTTAGTGAAACAGCCGTGGCCACTTACGAAGAACAACGCAGGGAATTGGAGGACATTTCCGCCATGCTAACCACCATTCGAGAACAATGTGAGAATCAAGAAAACTAAATAAGCAACGGACGGGTGTGCCAATCAATCAGAGGCGAGGAGAGCTCGGATCCGATAAAAAGTCTCGACGAGGCTCAGTTATTTGACAAGACCATGGATCGAATGGTGAAAGAATGAAAGCACGTTCAAGAGGCGTACAAGTGGGAAACGAGAGCCTTTGGAGGCCATTTTTGGTACTTTTGAGCACTACTGCACAAATGTTAACAATCTATAATGTATGTGGAGTGTTCACTCTTAGTGTTGTGGCAGTAGCTGTGCGGAGCTGATGGCTGATGTAGCATGTGCAGTCCGAAGCGCCACTCTTGCCCCCCTGATGTGTGGCAGTACAGTATGTGCGTAGAGCTGATAGCTAGCATGTGATGTATCAAGCTCCACTCTTGGTCTCTTCCACAAAATTTTGAAGGCTCCACTTTTAAATTGAAATCTAGCCCTACGTGGTCTGGCTTAATAAAATGCAGAAGCCTCGGTAATTTCGAAAGCAGGCAAAACATAACCCAAAAGGTCCAACGCAGCCAGTAAGGGTTTGTCTGGGTTCTTTGACGGGGACTTGCAAGCCAATGCCTGCTTCCTTATTCTTCTAATAAAGAAATGAAAAACTAAATAGAGGGTCAAGGCGATGGGGCCTAGGCAGACTAGGGCATCTTTCGTGGGGAGTCGTAGGGAGTGGGCGGGAGCAGGGCAAATGGGGCAATCATAGGGGAAGTCGTAGGCTGGGAGCAAACAAGCAAGAGGAGGGTGGCAAGATTAGCGGATGATGGCAAGTGCACCAATGGCATCCCCGCAGGAACGGCGGTAGCTCATTGTGCCAACAGGGACACCAGAGCCACACATGCTTATGGCGGGCGCGATCAATACCAAGGCTTTGTTCATCTCGGTGCCTTTGTGCTGCTTTGCGGTGGCAATGCAATACTAGTGCAGCACCGGTACCAGGTACCGTATGGTAGCGGTACCCGTATTACCAGGCGCCGCTACCGCGATGCAGACATGCAGACCTGCACGACCGGGACTCACACGGGCTGTGGGCTCAAGACTGAAGGATCTTTCCCACAAATAATAAATTGGGAGTGACGACTCAGTGCTGCAGTACCACTCCCGGAAACTACAGCATGTACCACTACAATAGGTCGGTGGTACAGTGGGTACCAGTACAGTGTGACTCGACTCCAGTCCTGGATCAGAGCATAGTACAGTACACTGTACCCTCCAACCACCAACCACAGTCGTAAACCGCTTTTCCATCACATAAATCTGTTCCCCGTCCTCATCATAGTTCCCTCTAACCCATAGTAATTTCCCGTTCCACCAATAATCAAAAGAGCCCAAGACAAGGATGAACAACCCCACAGGAAGCCCAGGTGAGAAACAAGGCAAAGGCTTGCGGAGGCGCCAAGAAACTACGGAGGCAAACGCATATGCACCCAGAATGGCGCCTCTCGTGAAAGGTGGGCTCCATCGTGGAGCCGAGACTACTACATGTACTGTTGGAGCTGAGCACGTCAATAATATCGACACGGAACAAATACAACAAGACCCTGTTGATGAAACATACGAAGAAGAGCAGCAGCAACAAGGTCTGCGAGAGGAAGGCGTTGAAGCACCTGCCGTAATTACCCAGAGCAACCCAGACCCTACCCCTAATGATCCAAGTCAGCAGGCGGTTGCTGCCTGCACTGTGGCCGACGGCACTGATCTTGAAGGCCAACGTGAAGTTGTCATTGCTGCCCCGTTGAAGCAATCCAGGTTCTGGAGGACTTTGTCTATACTGACGCTGCTGCTTGCCATTGTGATAGCGGTTGTTTTGGCCATTGTCTTCACCAGGGATGACGACCAGCCCAGTGGTGCCTTTTCAGGGCAGCAATTCACACAAGTTTTGTCCGCATCATCGCCGTCCATGGCACCATCAAATGCTCCATCAAATGCACCTTCCTTGGCACCAACAAACTCTCCAATCCCATCTGTGGCGCCATCAGAGGTGCCTACTGGAAGTCCATCGGCAGACTTCTGTGACTTTGGCTTCAACATCTCATGTGTGGAACTCCTTTCTCGTGACCCTTGCGAGACTTTTCGCCCTCCTCTGCCTCCAATTGAAGACTGCGAGTTTGACCCAATTGAAGTCACACTTTTGTTTAATGCAAGTGATTGCATCAGTGGCACCTATACGACGGCTCAATTTTCATGCGAGGACTTCAATGGCGGACCCACCCAATCGGAACCGGCTTTTATACATGTCACATCTGTGCGGAACACCAGCGTTGTTTACTTTGCAGGCATGGTTGCCCCAAACGCTACGTTTTCGCTGACACATCCACAGTTGGAGCTAATATCAGACACTCTGAACGTTTCAATTTACTCCGCCAGCGATGATGATTCAGATGGCAGCCTGTTGCAGGAATCCATATTCGAATTCAACTGCACCGCCAACACCTTTTTGTTCAATAGATTTGGTGCTTTGCAGTTTGTTGGCTTCAAGAGCATCGAGCAAGGAATTGTTTCGCCGTTAACTGACGTTCCCAAACTGGTGTACGACTTTTTGTTTCAGCTGCATGTGACCAACGTTGGGGTAACACCCGCAATCATAACTTCGCTGGTGCTATCAAGCAATCGTGACCCGTTTTCCCTCGACTTCACCAGTTTGGTGACATCAAACAGCGCCAAAGGACTCCTGAATCCTGGTGAACCTGTCCCGGTTGACTTCATTGTTCCTGCTGTTGAAATAGTACCCGCGCAAAAATTGGATTTCTTGCCAGCTGGCGTGGGCATTTCCGAGGGCAACACTGTTTGTGGTTCTACGGGCATACTCTCTGTCACCATCGGGAGCAATTTCGACGAGACGGACGCACCTGATGAAACCGTGGATGAAGAAACCGACGGTGATGGAAGCTCCGTCACAGCTCCTTTATGTGATATCACGGCAACTATTAGTTGTGCCGGGACAACCCCGATTGGCGCCTACGACTGTAGTAGGCTTTTGACATGCCCTCATCCCTTCCCATCAGTTCTGAACCTGACATTTTCGTCAGAGAACTGTGATGGCGCAGCAGACTGTGTGGACTTTTTCCGTGGTGCAGCCGGTATGGACCAAGCAATTGTAATCATACAAGCGCAGGACAGCTTATTGCTAGAGCAAAGTGTCACAAATGGTGAAAGAATCATGCTCCGCTCTGGCGTTGGATTGGGGCCCTACATCAACATTACAGTTTTGGATGACAAACGCACCAGACCTCTCCAGACGCTCCAGCTCAGTACATGTCCAACCGACGCATTATTTGCAGAAGGCACTCGACATGGGGCCTTCACGATCAATTCGGTGACAGAATCTGTTGCAAGCAGGCCACTTGCAGCAATCAAGATGCAAGCTCACATCCAAAATGTTGGTGTCGCCAAAGCAAAATTGACGAAGGCAACAGCAATCACTCCGACAGGAGACAGAAACTTATTTCAGTACCCATACACAAGTAGGTCGGTTGGACCAGGAGACGGCATTGTCGTTGATTTGTCTATTGAACGTGTGGATGATTGGCTTTCTAAATACACGAGTGGAAATCTTTGGGAGTGGTCGGTTTTGGTATCTGGTGAGTCGGAAGATGGACAACCTTGTCGAGCGAACGACACCATCCTAGTCTAGCTAGCTGTCTATAGGAATGTATTGAATCAACCAAAATGCGATCTGGTAAGGCCCTGCCAACAACAGTCTCAAAGCCGCCCTGACTCAAAGCCGCCCTGACTCAAAGCCGCTAGATCCAAGCATTGGGTAGAAGCTGTGGTTGCAGCTCGAATCATTTGCATCTGCTGCTGAATTTGTTTGTTCACGGAGGGGTCAGTACGTGCATCCGATCCAATACCGGTACTAGGCACAGTATTTGCCTAATGGTGCAGCAAACTAGTTGTATCAGCTCCGTAGCAAAACAGTCCAAAGTCATGGCTGCGGGCTTTGTCATTATTGTATGCCTGGTAGAGTTTGAAAGCGGACTGACTTTGTAAAAACGAAGATTCTATTCTTCGATCGTCGGATGTAACATTACGGTTGCATCGCTATTCGTGATCGTTGACGGTAAACTCTGCTCGTTCCGCCTTCCGATCTAGAAAGACAACACCGTGAGTTGCCCCTGTTGTGAACTCCAGCCATCAAATTTTGCAGGCGAAATATGTGTGTGGAGTTCATGGATCGGACCATCACATCATGCATGATAAACGCCGCTTGCACGGACAGCTCTCGATTTTACACCTGAGCGATTGTGCATCCCAGTTTGTTGTCGAGAATCATAGTACATTGGCGGGGTTGATTTTGTTGCAGGTGTAGAATACCGGTAATCTGCTGCTTGGCTCTCCAGATCATCCGTGCCCCCAAAGTCCATGGACGCAAAATCTAGTCCTCCAAATTGATCTTCGCGGGACATTTCATCAGTGGCCATTCGATAGCTTTTTGCGTCCCAGGCGTAGATGATTGTTGTTCCGCACAGTAGGTCTGCGAGGCCTCTCCGATCCTCTCGGATCAATGAGAAAATGGTCGCAATCCAAACAAAAAAGAAAGTCAGGATATTGGTAAGAAAGGATCTCAAGATTGCTTGGTAAATAGTCACGTGCCCAATCTTGCCGTTTCGAGAATCGATGACTGTCAGCCCCATGAATCCCTTTCCAATGGTACTCCCAAGCGTGATCATGAACAACGCATCAAAAACAAAAGCACACAGGTTGACAGCTGCGAGCGGGATCCCGACAGAGACTAAGAATCTCGCCTGGTCCTCTTGCTGCTCTTGCTCAGTGAGGATGGCCGCTTCTTCCGACGTCAAGTTCCCATCTGAAACAGCCTCCACTGCTTCGTCTGAGATCTCTTTTGGTATCAGGGCAATCAGAGCATTGACCACGAGAATCAATAGCATGGCAAAGGCAAGTGTCAGCCCCTTGTCAATGGCATAGGCCAAAAAACGAGAGAAGGTTCCAGCATTTCTGCCTTGAACAGCCTGTGCCAAGAGGGTGGACTTTTTGGGGCATTTCATTGCCTTGCGTTCTCGTACATCTGCAAGGTACTCTTTTCTATGCCCCAATGGCCGAACAGTGGGCTTGGGTGGCAAAGTCCATTTTCTTTTTTGCTTGTCACAGCAACACCATGCACATCGACCAGTGCGCTGAACAATTTGATCCACTTTGATACAAATCGCCCGAAATCTATTGATTACAATGGAAAACATCCCCGATGCTGACGTACATTGAGAGCGTCGAGCAACAATTAATAAAGGTGAGTGAATTATTTCTTTTTCAAGTGTCAAGCCCAGAGACCTTTTGGACTTGATCATTCATGCAGGTGGAAACAAACTAACTTACTGGACCTGGCAATGATTTGTTTCAAATTGGATCGCTCAAGCACAGCATTCACATCCACCCGGTCCACCACTCTGTTGACATCTAGCTTGTCTATCAGGACATCCAAATCAATCTTGTCGAGCAGATTGTTAAAATCAATTTCATCGACAATAGCATTCCAATCAATTTTACTGACCACCTCATTAAAGTCCACTCGTTGCACCACTCCATCGATATCCACACCATCCAGCACGGGGTTTACCACAGCTCCAATGGCAGTGGAAAACAGACTTGATCGGGGGACCTTGAGATTGTGCTGCCCTTGCTGTCGAGGCAACGACTGTGACCGCCGTGGCCTTGATTGACGCGTCGTTGTGGAGGCAGGAACATGGGGGGACCTTGTGTTGGTCTGGTCTGACATCTTCTTTGCCGCTGTACTATGGCTAACTAACCAAGCAATGGTCAGGGGGGCAGGGGAGCTAAGGTTGTTAGTAGGAGGAGGAGGACATCTGTGCTAGGAAAGGGCATGTGCTGGTTCGTAGTGGGCGGCATAATACTGTACTGCACCTTTTGGTTGGTGTGGACGGGGATCTTTACCTCGGCAGGTAAACTGCCTGAGTTCTCAACCCCTTTAATGCTATTTGGTCTCCCAGACCACGCTCCTTTTGGTTACCCCCTCAGTTGCACTCTGAAATCGATTGGCTCGCGTTTACTGTGTAAATTAGTGTACCCGCACTTCAGTTGCAGAATCAACGGTCATGTGTATCTTTAAGTAACAAGTTCCCTTTCGAAATTTTTAGATCGATTCGTGGATGAAGTTGCTAAGGTTAAGGATAAACCGATCGTCCCCCAGTCGACGTCGAGCGAAAGTCCATTATTGAAGGCGCAGCACTGACTTCTCTCCCTCATTGAATTCGTATGGTAAACAGGAGGTAAATCCAAGCTTGGCCGACAACAATGTTGAATCGAATCGATCAATCGATCGAATTGAAGGTGCAGATTCGAAAGCCATCCCTCATTCATTTCTATGGACCATGGGCAGGCAGTCAGATCTCGGCCGTCAACAGGTGAGTTGTTTTAATTATTCGAATCGAATCAATCGGTCGCACCTCTGTTATCCTCCCTCTGTTATCCAAGCCTCACTCAAGCCGGCTTTCTTTGGTGCAGAAGCGAAAGCCATTCCTCATTGAATCTTATGGACCATGGGATGGCAGTCAGTTCTCGGCCCATGAAGGCCAAGTTGGTGCAATTTGAAAAACAAGAGTAAGTCTCCGGTCGTCTGCAGTTGAGCACAGAAAACAAAACTCATATCTATTTGTTGTTTTCTCTGCTGTAACTGCTGACGGCCGAGGAAATCCCATTGTCGAACGAACGATCGTCGCTCCGGAGAACAAGAAGAGGAGAGGCTACACTAGGAGGAGACTGTTAACTCCAGCCTACCACAGCCTGAACGGATCGTCGTCGAGTCATTGAAAGGGAACAGGAGCAAGGCTAGCTACTCGACAACACACAGAGAGTGGATCCTCTACCGGATTCATCCCTTCTTGTTATTTCCTACTGTTTTGGTGGTGATTCCTGTGTCGGTACCCATTTTCCTGTATGCGCAAATCAAGTACTGTTGCCACTCTAGACTACGGCACTGCGGTAAATGGCTGGATTAACAATATTCGGTTTTGTGCATGTATTCGTCATAAGGATCCAATGCGAGGTAACTGAGTGCAGCAAGCAAAGTCGAATCTGAGTGTGTTCGGTACTGTTGCCACTGTCACTGATCATGAACTCTACGGTAGCCGGCTACAACATGGCTGGATTGACAATGTTCGGTTGTGCATGTATTCGTCATAAGGATCAATGCAAGGTACTGGTAACGGAGTGTAGCCAGTAAAGCGGAACCTGAGTGTGTTCGGTACTGTTGCCACTGTCACCGATCGATGAACTCTACGATAGCTGACTACGATGGCTGGATTGACAATGTTCGGTTGTGCATGTATTCGTCATAAGGATCCAATGCAAGGTACCGGTAACCGTAGCGAGCAAAGCCGAACTTTCGGTATTGTTGCCACTGTCGTCGGGATGGGTAGCTATACCGCAGCCGGCAACAATTGGTGGATTCATTATGTTCGGTTGTGCATGTAGTCTATTCGTCATAAGGATCCAATGCAAGATACCGGCAACGGAGTGTAGTCTGCAAACGGAACCTGAGTGTGTTCGGTACTGTTGACACTGTTGCCGATGTAACTGTACGGTAGCCGACTACAATGGCTGGATTAACAATAGTCGGTTTTGTGCATGTATTCGTCATAAGGATCCAATGCGAGGTAACCGAGTGCAGCGAGCAAAGTCGAACCTGAGTGTGTTCGGTACTGTTGCCACTGTCACTGATCGATGAACTCTACTGTAACTGGCTACGATGGCTGGATTGACAATGTTCGGTTGTGTATGTATTCGTCATAAGGATCCAATGCATGTTACCGGTAACGGAGTGTAGCCAGTAAAACGGAACCTGAGTGTGTACGGTACTGTTGCCACTGTCACCGATTGATGTAACTCGACGGTAACTGGCTACAATGGCTGGATTGACAATATTCTGTTGTGCATGCATTCGTCAAAAGGATCCAATGCGAGGTACCGGTAACCGTAGCGAGCAAAGCCGAACTTTTGGTACTGTTGCCACTGTCGTCGATGTAGCTATACCACAGCCGGCTACAATGGGTGGATTCATAATGTTCGGTTGTGCATGTAGTCTATTCGTCATAAGGATCCAATACAAGATACCGGCAACGGAGTGTAGTCTGCAAACGGAACCTGAGTGTGTTCGGTACTGTTGACACTGTCGCCGATGTAACTGTACGGTAGCCGACTACAATGGCTGGATTAACAATAGTCGGTTTTGTGCATGTATTCATCATAAGGATCCAATGTGAGGTAACCGAGTGCAGCGAGCAAAGAGGAACCTGAGTGTGTTCAGTACTGTTGCCACTGTCACTGATCGATGAAGTCTACTGTAACTGGCTACGGTGGCTGGATTGACAATGTTCGGTTGTGCATGTATTCGTCATAAGGATCCAATGCAAGGTACTGGCAACGGAGTGTAGCCAGTAAAGCGGAACCTGAGTGTGTTCGGTACTGTTGCCACTGTCACGGATCGATGTAACTCTCTGCCTACGGTACCTACCGTAGCTGGCTATACAATGGCTGGATTGCATCTAAAGTAGCGAGCAAACTGAGGAAACAGGAGACTACCGCTGAAAAAAAGCCGAATTTCCTATTCCCCAGAAGCCAAAGTATAAGGATAGAGATAGTCATAAGCCAACAAAACTGAACATTGATGGTTCAATACAAGTTAGGGGTAGGAATAAATCATTAATATTTAAGGTTAGTGCAATCAGCACAACAGCACAATAAGCCAGCAGGAGCTGTAAAGGTTAGAGTTACAATAAGGGAATGGCAGCTGGTAAATTATAGAGTAGCGGGCGGCAACACACGACGTAGTCGGGTGTTGTCGCCAGGGCTAGCTTAATAAAAAGAAGGTTGCAATGAGGGAATGAATCATACCGGGCGGCAACACATGACGTAGTCGGGTGTTGTCGCCAGGGCTGGCTTGAAAGATGGTTGCAATCTCGAACATGATCCTCCTTCTTCTATCTGTCTTTCTGCCGAGGTATCGCAGCTCCCGCTGACTTATCTTTGCGAAAAAATGAGGTGTGCGTCACAAGCCAGTCCCGCACCAGCCTCCACGCTGCAATGCCGTCGTGGAATTCGCGGTGCCAACACCTCTCAGGCCATCGCTTGCAGGCGGGCTGACTGAGGAAACATATTTTACCTTCCTGCTTCAGCCCCATCAAAATATGGTTGTTGAGCAGTTGCGGCATATGCACGAACGATGCACACAGTAACTGGTTCTTATTCGGCCCGTCAAACGTCTTCTGTCTCCACCATGGCTGATCCTGCATGCACAAAGTTTCTCCCGGCAGCTAATGCGCAACTCAGCATAGTAGAATGTGACCGCCTCGTCTAAGATATGAAGTCGCAGCACGTTCCTTTTGTCCCACTGTTCATCTGGAAGTGCCCGCCTCCTGAAGGGCTGAAGCTATTGAGCCAAACTATAAATGTTGGAACAGATGTTGTAACAGATTATCTTTATATAGTAAAAGTACACAGCACAATGTTTTGCTAGCCAGACAGCAATCTGCTGCCTTCAATCAGAAAAACTATGAGTCCGACGACGTTAAGACGCTCAGGCGCTTTGCAAGCTGCTTCGCATAAAGTGTGATTTCCCGTTCGGTCTTGTCATGGATGATGCCGGAGAGAATTCTGAAGGCTTCCACACGGATAGGATCGGGGTCTTCTAACCACAGGCTCCTGTTCTTCTCTACAAACTCTTTGAGAATGTGATAGCGTCCTTCAATCACCAAATCCATCCAAAGGTGTTGTTCCCCAATGAAATAGCCTCCACGGTTCTTGAACTTGGCGTTGTAGGACACCCACACCAACTTGCTACAAATGGAATCATCTGTCTTCCAGCCCTTCTGATCATCTCCAAACTCCGGGTCTGTCATAGGCTTCTTCGATGAAACAATGGTGCAATCAACGAAGATATCAATAATGTCCTCGGCATTTTCAAGAGGTTCTGTCTCTGCAAGTTGCCTTGATTCCGACTCGAGAACAGTCTCTTCGTCACCCTTTTCCAAGCGGCGCCGTCCTGTAGGCATGGGCACAGGAATGTTGTTTGGGGCTGGTGTGGGTGAGTCGAATGGGAAAGGTGTTGGCTCCGAAATCTCCAATGTGTATGGGCCAGTGTCACCATCCCATCCATACACAAAGATTGAATAGGCAACACCGACAACAGAATTAAATGAAAGTGTTGACTGAAGCCCGCAGAAGTCATCATTGCCAGTAACACAGCTCAGGCTGGAACAATCACCTGACCAAACTGACACCTGCAGGACCAGCAAAAGAATTAGTCCAATTGTCATCTTTCCACCCATCCTGAGATGCATATGTCCCCTCCTATTAATTTGCAAATACGTACCATCGTATCATAACCTGAGTTGCACAAGCTCACATCCCAGGCGCCACCATTGCCATCCACTGAAAACCAGACCCCAGCAACTGCATTGTAGGACTTAGCCTCGCCACAAGCTTGTATTGAGAATGTTTGCGCCCCATCTGTTGTACCAGAAGTGCTTGATCCAACAGATACCGAGGAAGCACCTAAGCAACCTATTTCCATGGTGTCACCTGGGGCTGGGGCAGGCGTTGGAGAGTCATATGGGACAGGTGTTGGGGAGTCATATGGGACAGGTGTTGGGTAGTAATAAAGTGGGGTATATGTTGGCGAAATATAAAATGGGGTTGGTATTTCGGTTGGAGTCTCTGTTGGTGCTTCCGTTGGAGTTTCGGTTGGACTGTCGGTGGGTGTGCCTGTGGGAGCTCCTGTTGGAAGGTCCGTGGGTGTACTGGTTGGAGTTCCTGTCGGAGTTCCTGTTGGTGCACCAGTGGGAGTTCCTGTCGGAGTTCCTGTTGGTGCACCAGTGGGAGTCCCTGTTGGAGTTCCTGTTGGTGTGCCGGTTGGTGTGCCTGTGGGAGCTCCTGTTGGAAGGTCCGTGGGTGTACCAGTCGGTGTTCCTGTCGGAGTTCCTGTTGGTGCACCAGTGGGAGTCCCTGTTGGTGCGTCAGTGGGGGTCCCTGTTGGAGTTCCTGTTGGAATGCCGGTTGGTGTGCTGTGGGAGCTCCTGTTGGAGGTCCGAGGGTGTACCGGTTGGGGTTCCTGTTGGACTGTCAGTGGGTGCTTCGGTTGGTATTTCTGTTGGAGCTCTGTTGGCGTTTCTGTTGGAGTCTCGTGGATGTACCTGTGGTGCTTCGGTTGGAGTTTCTGTTGGAGTCTCAGTGGGTGTACCTGTGGGTGCTTCGGTTGGAGTCTCAGTGGGTGTACCTGTGGGTGATCCTGTTGGAGTCTCAGTGGGTGCTTCGGTTGGTATTTCTGTTGGAGTCTCGTGGGTGCTTCGTTTGGTATTTCTGTTGGAGCTACTGTTGGCGTTTCTGTTGGAGTCTCAGTGGGTGTACCTGTGGGTGCTTCGGTTGGAGTTTCTGTTGGAGTCTCAGTGGGTGTACCTGTGGGTGCTTCGGTTGGAGTCTCAGTGGGTGTACCTGTGGGTGATCCTGTTGGAGTTTCCGTGGGTGCTTCGTTTGGTACTTCTGTTGGAGCTCCTGTTGGCGTTTCTGTTGGAATCTCAGTGGGTGTATCTGTGGGTGCTTCGGTTGGAGTTTCTGTTGGAGTCTCAGTGGGTGTACCTGTGGGTGCTTCGGTTGGAGTCTCAGTGGGTGCACCTGGAGTTGTCGTTGGTGCAGCTGTACCAGGTATGATGTATGTAAACTGCGGCGAAATGTTGTTGCCCTCTGCTGTACCACTGTTTCTACTGACAAGCTCTTCTTCAAGGAAAACTTCTAGCGTCCAGTCGTCCACTCCACCCTGTTGGAAGAAGTTTTCGGCCCAGTAAGTGTACTCCCCAGCTGGAGGTGTGCTACCTTGGAGGAAGAATATGTTCTCCACGTGTAGCCCTGTGTCGCCGAGTGCCGGAATATCGTCATGGTCCATCTGGCCTCCACTTTCAGAATCACTTGGCGACCAAAAGTAAATTTCAACTTTTCCTGGAGTCAGAAGATGGAGATCAAGATCGTCTAAAATGGTGGAAGACGGGCCAATGTCAATGATACCGCATCAAACACTCAAATATTCATCAAAGTTGACTTACCATCTCCGATCCAGCTAAGGGTAAAGCGCAGAGTTCCAAAATTCAAGCAGACGTTCGCTGAGCAAGTAGAATCGCTGGAACAGTCAGACTCATCACAACACTCCACAACACTGTTGTCACAGCTCTTCAGCTGGCAGTCAAAGTTTACACATTCAAGTGAGGTATCGCCACAATCGCTGTCTTGACAACATTGGAAGGCCGGAAGAGACGCATCGCACTGCAATTGTGTGCATTGTTGAGAGACGCACTCCATTCGCTTGTCCGCACAGTCTGCATCGGAACAACATTGGATATTATCAGAGATGGAGCAAGCAGTTGGAAATGTACTTGTACTAGGAGTGGAACTGGGCGCTTTGGATGGGCTCTCAGACCTTTCCGTAGGTCTTGTTGTTGGTGCTTCGGTAGGGCTTGCTGTTGGTGCTTCGGTAGGGCTTGCTGTTGGTGCTTCGGTAGGGCTTGCTGTTGGAGCTCCTGTGGGAGAAGCTGTTGGTGCGGGCTCCGAAATATCCAAGATGTACGGTCCAGTGCCACCACTCCATCCATACACAAAAATCGAATAGGTGACGCCGACAACAGAATTAAGTGAAACTGCAGACTGAAAACCGCAGCTATTATTGTCATCGTTGCCAGCAACACAGCTCAGGCTGGAACAATCACCTGACCAAACTGACATCTGACCAACAAGCAAAAGAATTAGTCCAAAATGCCATCTTTCCACCCGCCCTTAGAAGCATGCATCCCCTCCTATTGCTCTTCGAAAACGTACCATGGTATCGTAACCTGAGTGGCACAAGCTTACATTCCAGGCGCCACCATTGCCATCCACTGAAAACCAGACGCCAGCTGCTGCTGAGTAGGAGTCAGCGTCGCCACAGGCTTCTACTGAGAATGTTTGCGCCCCATTTGTTGTACCAGCAGTGCTCGATCCAACAGATACCGAGGTAGCACCAAAGCAACCCATCTCCATGGTGTCAGCTGGAGTTGGCGTTGGTGCATCTGTTCCACCTGGAGTTGTCGTTGGTGCAGCTGTACCAGGTACGATGAACGTGAACTGCGGCGAAATGTTGTTGCCCTCTGCTGTACCACTGTTTCTACTGACAAGCTCTTCTTCAAGGAAAACTTCTAGCGTCCAGTCGTCCACTCCACCCTGTTGGAAGAAGTTTTCGGCCCAGTAAGTGTACTCCCCAGCTGGAGGTGTGCTACCTTGGAGGAAGAATATGTTCTCCACGTGTAGCCCTGTGTCGCCGAGTGCCGGAATATCGTCATGGTCCATCTGGCCTCCACTTTCAGAATCACTTGGCGACCAAAAGTAAATTTCAACTTTTCCTGGAGTCAGAAGATGGAGATCAAGATCGTCTAAAATGGTGGAAGACGGGCCAATGTCAATGATACCGCATCAAACACTCAAATATTCATCAAAGTTGACTTACCATCTCCGATCCAGCTAAGGGTAAAGCGCAGAGTTCCAAAATTCAAGCAGACGTTCGCCGAGCAAATAGAATCGCTGGAACAGTCAGAGTCGTCACAACACTCCACAACACTGTTGTCACAGCTCCTCAGCTGGCATTCAAAGTTTACACATTCAAGTGAGGTATCGCCACAATCGCTGTCTTGACAACATTGGAAGGCCGGAAGAGACGCATCGCACTGCAATTGTGTGCATTGTTGAGAGACGCACTCCATTCGATTGTCCGCGCAGTCTGCATCGGAACAACATTGGATATTACCAGAGATAGAGCAAGCAGTTGGAAATGTACTTGTACTAGGAGTGGAACTGGGCGCTTTGGATGGGCTCTCAGTACTTTCCGTAGGTCTTGTTGTTGGTGCTTCAGTAGGGCTTGCTGTTGGCGCTTCGGTAGGGCTTGCTGTTGGCAATTTCGTAGGGCTTGCTGTTGGTGCTTCCGTTGGCTGTTGTTGGTGATTCCGTAGGCTTGCTGTTGGTGGTTCCGTTGGCTGGTTGTGCGCTTCGGTGGCTTGTGTTGGCGATTTCGTAGGGCTTGCTGTTGGCGCTTCCGTTGGGCTGGTTGTTGGTGATTCCGTAGGTCTTGTTGTTGGTGGTTCCGTAGGGCTTGCTGTTGGCGATTCCGTTGGGCTTGCAGTTGGTGCTTTGGTGGGCCTTGCCGTTGGCGATTCGTTGCGTTGTGTTGGTGCTTCCGTTGGGCTGGTTGTTGGTGATTCTGTAGGGCTCGTTGTTGATTTCGTCGGCTTGCTGTTGGTGGTTCCGTTGGGCTGGTTGTTGGTGGTTCCGTTGGGCTTGCTGTTGGTGCTTCGGTAGGGCTTGCTGTTGGCGATTCCGTTGGGCTTGCTGTTGGTGTTTTGGATGGACTGGTGGTTGGGACATCTGTTGGCACTTTGGAAGGACTGATGATTGGACCAGCAGTTGGTACTTTGGAGGGGCTGCTGGTTGGATCAGCAGTTGGTACTTTTGAAGGGCCTGCGGTTGGACCAGCACTTGGCAATTTTGAAGGGCTCCCACTGGGACTAGTGCTGGGTAGGGTGCTTGGCGCAATGGAAGGCTGCACACTAGGCAATGCACTCGGCGAAGTACTCGGCCTAGTAGACGGGCTTGCACTTGGATTCGTACTTGTACTGGGGATGGAACTAGGCAATTTGGACGGGCTTCCAGAAGGACTGGATGATGGTAGACCACTAGGCTCCGAAGAAGGTAAGAGACTGGGCTGTGATGATGGAGTTATGCTTGGTGAAGTTGAGGGAGACTGAGATGGCATCAAAGATGGCTGCAGACTTGTACTTGGCCCCACGGAGGGCAAAGATGACGGAGCATCTGTGTTCACAGCATTGAGGCCAACGAGCTGAAGCCCAAAGGCCACGACTCCAGAACTGACACTGCCAGAAAATGCGCTTCTGTCCGAATCAGTTTGAAGGATAGGGGATGTGGAGTCCACCAGAAACCTGATCGTTGTCTCCGTCTGTAAGTGGCGGCCACGGAGCAAACGCCTTCCCTGTATTCTTTGCAACACCCGTACGAAACTCAGTTCAGGTCCACATGGTATTCTCGGCAAAGTCCCATAAGCCGCATCAAATATTCCACTCCAAGTCACATCATCTACAACACTTGTGTCACCCAAAAAACGAAGGTCCCAATGCATTTGGACATCTAGGATGTCACAGGTACTTGGGGCAGATGATGGAATCAAACTCGGACTTGCACTTGGAGCGAATGAAGGCTTGTTGCTTGGTATCGATGATGGATTTTCGCTCGGGCTGGAGCTTGGCTCGTCGCTTGGCATTAATGACGGGATCAAACTAGGCTTGGGCGATGGCTCAGTGCTTGGGGCCGATGATGGATTTGAGCTGGGCGAGGAAGAAGGGGCCAATGAAGGGACTCCAGTAGGATCAGTGGTCGGTTGTGGCGTGGGATCAAATGTGGGTTCAAGGGTTGGTTCAGGGGTTGGCGAAGACGTGGTTGGTGCAGACGTGGTTGGTGCAGATGTGGTCGGTGACGATGTGTTGAACGATGACGAGCCTTGTCGGTCCGGGCAAACTTCACAACCACAGCCGCAGGCATTCGCAGAACACACTAGATCCAAGCCACTTGACATGCAAAAGGCTTCCGGCGTCTCCCCTTCTACTTGCGTCCCTTCAAATGAAAAGAACTCGAGCATCGTCAATTCACCAAGCTCTTGCGGCACGGTTCCTATCAACTCTGTGTTGTTGTCCAGCCACAACCTCTCCAGTCCCATTGATATTCCAGCTTGCAAACGGCGAGATTCTTGTGCTGCACTCATGTCACCAGTAATAAGCCCGATTTCGGAAGGGATGGTACCAGTCAACTAAATGTAGAACTGTTGTGTGAGTTCAACGACCACATCTGACTATCAAGTCCGCGCTGGCATCAACTCACCTCATTGTCACGAAGTAAAATATCTCGCAAGTTTATAGCTCCCCCAATTTGGGTCGGAAGCGAGGATGAGATTCGATTTTGATTGAGAACAAAGAAGGCCATGGAGCTAGAAGGCGCGAATAAACAAATGAGTGAGCGACATGCTGCCACCGTGATGTGGCGATGTTTCCCCGCTTACCTGGATAAGCCGATTTCCGTTGGGATGGATCCAACTATACCGTTTTCCTCTGCATTCAGTGTCACAAGTGAAGGGAGAGACAGTAGCCGTGACGAAAGCACCCCACTTAGGCGGTTGTCCCTCAACACGAGATGTTGTAGCTTGCTCAATTCACCAAGCTCTTCAGGAATTGCACCATCAATCTCATTGCTACCCAGCTCAAGCTCCCGGAGGGACCTGGCAAAAGCAAGCTGACTTGGGATCCGACCCCGGATTTCATTTGATCCGGCCGATAGAACCGACAGGTCCGTCAAAAGACCATACTCGGAAGGCACCTCACCACTGATGTCGTTATTGTCCAACGAAAGCTCACGAAGGGAAACCAGCTCAGCAAATTCGCTCGGCATCACCCCCGAAAGACTGTTGGAACTGACATTCAAGAACTCAAGTGACGTAGCACTGCTCAATCCACGGGGGATCGAACCGTCTATATTATTGTTGTCCGCAAACATCTCACGGAGGGCAACGAGGCTCCCCATCTCTTCTGGAAGGACCCCCGACATCGAATTGTGCGAGACATTCAACTGCTCCAGCATAGACAATCGGCCGATGTCAGATGTGATTGACCCTCCAATGTTGTTTGATCCCAGATCAACCCGTCGGAGGGTTGTGGCGTTGCTGAGTTGGCGTGGCAGGGTCCCACCAAGCGAGTTGTTGCCCAAGACCAAGGTCTCCAATGCGGGCAAAAGACCAACTTCACTAGGCACATCACCAATGACCTCATTGGAGTCCAAAACAAGCTCTCTCAGCGACACCAAGTTCCCAATATCGGAAGGAATCACACCCGAGAAGGAATTTTGACTGGCATTCAAATGCTCCAACATAGACAAGCGGCCTATGTCAGATGCGATTGACCCTCGAAGGTTGTTTGATCCCAGATCAACCCGTCGAAGGGTTGTGGCGTTGCTCAGTTGGCGAGGGAGTGTCCCGCCGAGCGAGTTGTTGCCCAACGCCAAGGTCTCCAATGCGGGCAAAAGACCAACTTCACTGGGCACGTCGCCAACGAGTTCATTGGAGTCCAAAACAAGCTCTCTCAACGACACCAAGTTCCCAATCTCTACTGGGAGGACTCCTGAGAATTCGTTTTGACTGGCATTCAAGTGTTCGAGGTTAGCAAGGGCCCCGGTCTCGCTCGGAATAGTTCCGTTTAACCTGTTCTCCGAAACTCTCAAGCCAGTCAAGGCGCCAAGGCTCGAGAGCTCAGAGGGTAGCCCGCCATTTAATTCATTGTTGTTTAAATAGAGGTACTGCAGTCTTTTGATGGGTCAAATTCAGCAGCAAGAACGGTGAGATGTGGCAACCAAGTATTAGTGAACAACTAACTCGGTCGACGGATGCTTACTGGGTCATTTGGCCAAACATCGTGGGAATAAGTCCTTGCAAGGAGTTTCGAGATAGAGCAATCCTATTCAAGTTGCTGAGATTGGTCAACTCCAAAGGAATGGACCCATTCAATTTATTCTGGCCGAGGTTCAAGAATTCCATGTTCTGCAGTGTCCCAATCTCACTGAATATCTGGCCGGTAACACTGTTGCTGGCAAGATCCAACCTTCGCAGACTGGACAAGGTAGCCAAGCTTGATGGGATAAAGCCAGCCAATCCGTTGAAATTCAATCGTAGCGACAAATAGAAACCCCCTTCGTCGCACACTGGGGTAGAAGCTGTGGTGAACCAGAAGCACTCATCAATGTCATAGGAAAGCCAGTTTGTGTTTGTGGTCCACTGATCCCCTCCTGTGGCATAGTAAAACTCAGCCAACGCCAATCTCCGCGACCTCTTTGCTGAGGAGTAGGTGTCCAAACGGGGATCCTGTTGCTGCCAGAGGAGCGCAAAGTCGAGGGGTGTTTGCTGCAGCTCTCGTCCTGCCTGATCGACAGCATTGGTGCTAGTATCGACTTGACCACTCGCCAAGTTCCCAAGGAGCAAGCAAACCAACCCATAGAGGGGGGATAGAAGTGCACTAGCCTTCATCATCGTCGCTGTTGTGGCGGAACAACAGTCCTTTGTGTGGCCTCCGAGTGAATAAAGCACTACTACACCTAGCTAGACTACAAGCTCTTCTTTGGCTCTTCGGGTGCTCAGAGCTCAGAGTACCGATATGCATGTTTCGCTTGTTTCGAAGGTTCGCTCAATGTCGGATGCCAAAGAACAACAAAAATGAGACGGTCGGCAGGACTCTTAAGTTCGTTTCACGCACCGAAAAATTCTGAAAGTAGGATGATAGCATAATGCGAAAAAACAGTTAAAGGAAAATCTGCGACTGAGTGGTACAGTACGGTATCTGAGTACACTGTACCAGACAATGGAAAGCTATTCTTTTGGAAATCCTTCAGATCGTTTAGATTGTACAAATTGATCCAGACTTGCATGGACAGAAGCCCAACTTGAATAAATTCCACCAGCCACTGGCAACTGTCATTAATTAATTAAAGTGGTACCAGTACTTGTAACGCATACACTCATACCTTGATATTAAGAAAGTCAGAGATAAGATGTCGAGTACTGAGATTTGCTAAAATGTTAAGATATTTGAGATACTCAGATCTGCACTAGAGCTAAGATACCCAGCAAGCACTCTCCCTTGGGCACATAAGAGATTGACAGATGATACAATGACAATTCTCTACAACAAAATGCCTTGAAAACAGGTGCCAAAAGTCAAAAATTTCGCCCCCGTCAGATGATACACTGCTCTTTCCTCTCTTCACATAAGGGTATGTTTAATAAGGTGGGAAGCAGAGTAGAAATGTTGGTATGTACCATACTACTAGTATGATCAATAGAAATGGCAAGAAAGCTAAGATGTTGCCTTTGCACCCTGAATTTAAACAAAAAGCTAAGAAAAAAAAAACTGAACGTCTAATAACGGATTCAGACGAGATGTGCTTGAGGACTACCCACGAGCTAAGGCTCGGGTATTTCCCACAGTCAAGTCTGCTCACCGGCCACACTGGCCTCCTGAGAGGGTGCGACGCCTGTTAGCTATCTAAGGATTTGTACACTGAGGTCGGAGCCATGATTCACCACAAATCACGAGCTCTTTGTTGAAAACAAAAAGCTAAGAAGATTCTCAGTACAGATATTTGACTGCTTGCTAAGATGGCTTCGGAAATAGAGACATCTTAATATCAAGGGAGGCGTGAACGCTGTGTAACCCCAAATTAAACAATTTTTCAACATTTTAGAAAATTCAACACTGTTGAAAAAGTACAGTAAGTGACTCGACTCCCATGGCCAAGTAGAGTCCTCGGTACGAGTATTCTACTGTGTACCGCAGCCAACAACGCTGGAGGTGGAGGATTGAGGCGGCAGAGACAGAGATCCTACTATCTGGCTAGTTAGCTGTTTTAGCCTGTAGGCCAAATAGCAGACTAAGAGGGGGTCCAGCCAGAGTAGGGAAGTTATCAGCGGCAGCCGGAAGGGGGCGATAGTTTCGATAAAGACAACTCCAGTAGCACGGTTTTTGCGAGGCCAATTTTGGCGGTTGGGCACATTCCTCTTGCACCTTCAGAGCCTGCAACGGATGCCCGCGAACTACTAGCAGCTAGCCAGCTAGCCAGCTCGATGCGCACTCTGCCATACCTTTTTGCACTGTACATTTCTGGACATAGAGTCAACTGCGGGAGTCAACTGCGGGAGTCAACTGCGGGAGAGTTGGCAAGGACTATCAATATGGGCATCCAATGAGACGAAGCAACGAAACAGGTGCCCGCAACACATCCAAGGCGACTGGGTTCTTGGCATCCTCGATGTCCAGCTCTCGTAACAATGCACGAAACAAAGGCAGAGAGGAAAAGGAGCTTGCTTGAGTCTGGAAGCAAACACCTGTCGGTGTTTTGAGTCAGTGTCAGGAACCTGAAAAGAGCAACGGTTGATTATTGAAAGCACCACAGTTGAGTTCGTCAGGTCTTTCTAGCATAGAATGTTCATGTTCATCATCTGACATTCTTAGAGAAGACGTTGGGGATATTGACAGAAGCAAGGAGAATATCGTATGCAGCGTTATCACGTTGACTTGACCTGTCTGCGGACCGAACGGAGTGACACGAGACGAGTGTTGCCGCCGGAAGCGGAGAGAGGTCGAGTCCAGAAGTTATGACACTTCAACAGGCACCAAAGAGGTGCATCTACCGGTATGAGAGTGTAGCGACTCGACTCATACTGTATTAGAGCGTCAATCACTCCGTGGACTCGACTCGTTGGAGATTTGCGAACGACGCGAGTTACTGGATAGTTCCCAAACTTGGAAGCTCAGTCCTGTGCGAGTACTGGATTGAATGAATGAATCCAACTGGTTTACGTTCGTTTGAGACGTCAATCCATCGGAACGAAGGGGGTTCAGAGTTATCCAATAGTATGTAAAGCTCCCGTGACATGCACTAAGCCAAGTTTGCACACCTATGATAAGAGTGGGTCGTTTTGGCTTACTTTGGAGCAGGAAGACTCAGGACGTTTAATGACTATCGCGGTTCGTTTTGGCTTACTCTGGAGCTTGAAGAAAGAGGACGTTGCTTGCATGACTATCGTCGTTCGTTCTGGCTTACTTCTAGTACTTTGGAGCCTAAAGAACGAGGGCGTTGAATGACTATCGTGGCCACCAGCGAGAGTTGCTGTCAGCGTTAAATGCCTTCCAGGAGAGCGGAGAATTCTCGATTCGAACACAATGCACTGCTTGACTTTGCCACGACTCTCAATAGTTCGTCGTTCCGCTTTTGTCTTCTCCTGGCTCACAATTCGGGAGGCTACGACTCGTAGTTCCTTCTTGACATGGTCCAATCGACGAGGATCAGAGCTCCATGACGTCAAACACGGCAATCGTCCGCTTGAACGTGGGGGGAAGCAAATATGAAGTTCCCAAGTCCTTGATTGAGATGTATCCGAACACGATGCTAGCACGCTTGATTTCCGAACAATGGGAGGGGGGCAACGAGCAGGATCCAAACAAGGAAATCTTCATTGATCGAGATGGTCAGCGCTTCCAATGTGTTTTGGACTACATGCGAGATCAAAAGGCATATCTCCCGCATAACATGGCAAAGGCTTCTGTTATGCATGACTTGAAGTACCTCGGATTTGTGGATGTCCCAGATGATGCCATCGAAGAAACTTTGACGACTCCAGAGGCGGTGAAACACATCCGCATCGGCAGAAAGTAAAGGAGAACCTTGACCAGGCGTTCTGGGACAGCATTGCGTTTGAGTGCTTTATGCTTTCCGAAAACAACAATGGCAGCCTCAAGATCGAATTTCGGGATGGCGACGTGGCCAATCCGCGCTACAATTTGGCTCCGTCAAGGGTCTTTCAAAGCTTGCGTCTCAATAATAATGATCAGAAACGCTGCTTGAACCAGAGCCTCGCTATTTACGGCCTGACGTATGTAAACTACTACGGCTGCAACGGGAAGCACGATATCGGTATCAACTTGAAAAGGCTTTGAACAAGTACAAGTAGTGTTTCTAGATTTGACGAATGCGACGCACATTTATGCTGTGAGTTCAAAAGGGAAACCACTTAAGCTAAAGCGAATACAATTGGTTCATGACCGAATACAGCAGGCAGCGAATTGTTTTGCTCAATCTCAGTTTATTGCGTGTGTGAACCAATAAGGTGTCCCGCACCTTCCTTCGGATTCGTGATGTTGTAGTAGGAATAGCTCTGTAGAACTACTACGTGCCCAGATGTCACCGTCAAACCACTCCTCTTCTCAATGCTTGCTGTTGCTGTCGTCGTTCGGTTTGGGACGCGTCAATCCTTTCTTGTCGCCGTCTACTAGTGTTGTTGTCTGCATCCTCCATCCGCCTCACTCCAACACCCACCAATGGCAGACCTGGCACTTGGTAGGGATGCAACGTAGTGGCTTGAAGTGTCGGATTGGGAGTGCCAGGTGTAGGAGATTTGTCCGCAGTAGGTTGTGGAGTGGCTTGAAGTGTCAGATTGGGAGTGCCAGGTGTAGGAGATTTTTGTATAGTAGGTTGTGGAGTGGGTCGTGGAGACACGGATGGTACAGGTCTGGGGGGCCGAGGTGTCGGTTGTGGCGTGGTCATATTGGTTGTTGTCGTCGACATGTTGAGGAATTCCATGGACGGCCTCGGAGTGGGTCTTGGCGGCACGGAGGGTATTGGTCGTGGAGGTCGGGGTGATGGTTTGGGTGTCCCTTTGGGTGCGTTGGTGTTGCTTGGTTTGGGTGTCTTGGGTGCTTTGGTGGGATACGCTGTTGGTTTCGCCGAAGGCTCCATCGTAGATGGCATGGCAGACGGTTCCACGGTGGATGGATTGACAGATGGCTCCGCCGTAGATAGATTGATGGACGGTTCCATGGTAGATGGATTGGCAGACGGTTCCATGGTGGATGGATTGTCAGATGGTGCGATTGAGGGAGCGGAAGAGGGATCTATCGTAGGTTCTGGAGTTGGTTCCCGTGTCGGCTGGTTTGTCGTGGGTATCCTGGAAGGTTGGTTTGTAGGTTGGGTTGTGGACGGTCGTTTAGTGGGTATCCTTGTCGGCGAATTGGATGTGGGGAGAAACGAGGGGGCCAAGGTGGTGGGCATGGGCGTCACGTTGCTAGGTGGAAACGTGGACGGACCATCCGACTCTTCTTGAGCAGGCCAGACGGTGGCACCGCTCAGAGCCGGTGGCCGAGTCCGTGGTGCTGGAGTGGGAGCATCCGTGGGCGGTTCTGTCGGGTTGGGTGTTGTCATGACACTTTCGGAATCTTCGAAATCAAAATGGGCACTTGTGTTGGTACTGTTGGCGGGAGGCCGCGTGATTTCAGAGACTGGGGCTGGAGCAAAGGGGTCGTTAAAAGGCGGTGATTGAACAGGAGATGCAGCAACAGAAGACGACGGTGGTCTGGTCAATGGGTCAGGGCCAATGGGACTGAAACTGGGTATTTCTGTGGGAGATGTTGGTCCAAAAAGGGAACCTTGTGTGGGAGCGGGTGTCGTGGAGGGTCGTTGTGGATTGGCATTAAAGGGATCACCAACGTCAGGGATGTTGCCACCACCACTACCAGACGTAGGCGGTCTGGGAGGACGTGTGATATCAAAGACAGGAGCAGGTGTCGGCGAATTGGTTTCTTCGTCCAGTTGAGAACAGGATGGCGATGGCAAGGTAGCCGCTATTAGGCTCAAGCAAAGCAAATGTAGAGGCTTGAAATTGGAGCGGTATCCTCTTCTCCTTTTCCTTGTTCTCCTTATTCTTATCATCTTTCTATCGTAGCTTGATAATTGATCATCGTCTTTATACATAGCAGGCTCCTTCATCGTCATGGCAAGAACCTGATGGGTATCTGACGAGTTGGAATGGTTGACCTCTCAAAACGATCACACGAGATCTCTCGCACTTCCAGAGCTGGGTGTTCGATTGGATGCAAGTGGGTGACAGTTAAATCTTCGACAATAATACTTAGCTCCAGTATCTGTTGAAGAGTAGCGAGACAATTTTCAAAAGCGTTCCGGCGTGCCAGCCCTAAGTACCAAAACCTTGGGACATGAAGATCTAATGTGCGTCTTTTTGCTCAGAGATTCGCTGTTGGTTTTGACCAGTATATTCCGCCCCCACTCTACTGGTAGCTAGCCACCAGCTACCGGTAGTAGCTAGAGAGGGTTGCTGGTCGCTTGGCATTCAAATGCTGGAGGTTAGCAAGAGCCCCAGTCTCAGATGGAATTGCTCCGTTTAACATGTTGGCCGAGGTTCAAAATTCAAGGTTCTCCAATCTCGCTGAAAATCTCGCCGGCCAAGGGGTTGCTAGCAAGATCCATCCTTCGCAGACTGGACAAGGCAGCCAAGTCTGATGGGATAGAGCCCGCCGGTCCATTGAAGCAAACTACGAATAGACACAAGTAGAACCCCCCTTCGTCACACACTGGAGTAGAAGCTGTGGTGAACCAAAAGCACTCATCAATATCATAGGAAAGCCAGTTGTTGTTTGTGGTCCACTGATCCCCTCCTGTGGCATAATAGAACTCCGCCAGTGCCACTCTCTACCACCTCTGGAAGCTGGGTTGTTTTGGCTCACTCTTGGCGTGTAACAGGATTGTTTGTACACTTTGTACAGCACGTAATTGTCACACGGCATGCCGCACACATAATTCCCTGCAGCATTCCTCAATGGTGTGTGACATTAAAAATCCGAATTTTGGTCAGAATTCACAGTTATTAATTATCTGTTCACTGAAGTGAGTGGTACCGGTACTATTAGACTATCATAGCTATGGGGTGGGACTAGTAGGGTCATGATTCGTCATTGTGCACTTGTCTTTCTCCGGATCTTTTGAAGCAAATTTTACAGCGTGTGAAGAGTCCAGTAAAAACTACATGGACAGCCCAATGGAATTTTTACAGGTGCGCATTCATCACAATTTACTCGAGCTTCACTTTGGTAGCTACTTTGGTACGGATCATAATGAGCAGGACCTACACTCCTTTTCGGCTGAATGACAAGCAGACTGAGTTATTAATAGTTAGTTGGTTGGTTGGTTGGTCGGTACGTACGTACATGAAGAAACAAATCAAAGTTAAGTGAAAGGACAAGAAAGTGGTATTGCCTTCCATCTTTGTGTGTTCAAAAAGTACGCCACCATGACAGTAATAACAACACCAACCACCCAATCTGGGGTAGAAGGACGCAAGTCGGATCCTTTCGTGGCTCACAAGGACGATTTGGCCGTGGATAAGCCCAAGAGTGGTTGTTCCACCTTTCGCGCCACCGTCCTCTCGGTATTTCTGGCCATTCAATTGTACATGGGTTCCACTTATGCGCACGAGCATTTCCTGCGGAGTCTCTCCTCGTGGGACACTCAGTGGAGGCGACAAGCCGAGGAAACAACAGCGGCTGTCCATCTACCCCGCATTTTGCACACGGTCCACCCCCTTGTTTCCCAATACCACTACAACAGTACCTTTAGTCCCTACTATCACTGTCACAAAGACGATCGAGTCGACTTGCCTCCTCCCATTGCCCGCGTTCTCAACTACACGACCCGCGTCACTACCGACCTCAGACTCTTACTCATGGGCGATTCGGTCGGCATTCAAATGTTTCAATATTTCGAAGAAGCCGCTGGTGGCAGTGCCAGAAATGTCCTGCAGTATTCCTGGGGGAAACACGAAGGCATTGTCTTGAACACGCAACTCCGTGGGGGTGGTCAATTGGCCGGATGGAGAATCACAGGCATGTTCTCCCACAAGGGTGAAAATCAGGCGAGCCAATTGCCAAACAACGTGGGTGGAGGATGGATGCGGGCGGATGCCGACAGACTCTTGAATCTGTCAGCCCAAGCCGTGTGGAATCGACCACAAGTGACGGAACGACAATTGGCAGATGGAGCTGGCTTGTTTGACGCCATGGTTTTTCGAATTCCCCAGGGCTGGATGGACACGAAGGACGTGACACAAGAGGCATTCCAGGATACCATCCTCACCGCCCACAGTGTGTTTGGGGTTTCCACCGTGGTCTTTGTCTCCTTGCCCCTTGTCAACAACGTCCAAACAGTGGCCGATTTCGAGGAACTCCATCGGAAGAATCAACAATTGAAACAATACGCGCATGCCTGGAATACTAATGCGACAACCACCACAACCACAATTCGTGTGCTCGTACTCGACTTTGGTCACTTGATGAATCAACTGTTGGAGCTCAACGCCCGGGGGCTGGGATACGACACGTCCAATCTCAATTATACCTTGGATCATCTCAAGGGTAGACAATTGCCATCCTCCATTCCACTCGTCTGTGCCGAACGGCAAAAGGAGGGAGCCAAGAAATGTTCGGTGCGAAATAAGATTGCCGTGGATGGCATGCATTGGTGTTTTGACACCATGGGGGGAAGGGTCGTGGCTGGAATTTCGTGTCTACTGGAATGTGCCTACAATCATGACAACGAGAAGAGTGCCAGTTTTCTTCGACAATGTCAGAACCAATGCAATCAGAGACATATGGATATATCATCCTCGGTATACTAATTAATAAAAAAAGGGCACACACAGCACGCAATGATGCATTCCACTACCAATTGACGTACAACAACACATTGTATGGACTGCACTTATAATCGCTCTCGCTCTGGCGAGACCATGTTTCCCGTTACACAATCCGCTACACAGCCCTCGTGTGTTTTATCTACATGTTTATTGGCCAACATCAACTGGAGCCTCCTCTAGTTAGGCTAGCTAGGACGCCGCATGTTGCTGTTGCCATGCCGTGCGCTTGGTCGTCATGATCTTGAGAATCCTGCACCGCTTGTTCACCATTGCATCCTTTTTGATTTGCTTCGACGTTTCGCCCAAATCACCGGCGCCCTCGGCACGCACGAAATCGCCACCCAAGGCACCCAGCCGCTTCAAGCACAAAAAGACATCTTCCACTGTGGATCCGGGTTTCATCACCACCACATCTCGCAGAACTTGTTGCTGCTGCTTGCCGCCCTTGTTGTTGGAAGCGTAGATTCCTTGTTCGGCGTCCCACAAGGTTGGAATGCTTCCACCCGCGGCTTGGAGGCACGCAATCATTCCCGCACTCGGCAACGAAGGGTCGCCGACCGCGTGCTTGGTAAGACCGGCGAGAGGTTCGTAGGTACTCATGTCGCTGACTGGAAACACCAACACAGGCTCTCGGAGGGACATGGCTGCTTGCAAACATTGCCACGTTCCCAGCGGAGGATTTCCTTCCGTCTTGGATTGTGGTTGCTGCTGTTGGTGGTTTACAATGTGGTCCCTCACAAATGTCATTTCGCTGCGAGCAGACAAGGGCACGCCCACATGAGCTCCATGCAACGGTAGCGCAGATTGGATGGCCTTGACGTGCTTGCCACTGGACTCTAAGTCGTATTTGTTTAGGGCCAATGCCATGGGGAATCGGACGCCAAGGAAAGCGCTCACCACGCGGTGTACATCTGCAATAAGAGCAATGGGAACGCGTCAATCATGGCTTGTTATAAGCCTACTGCCAGCAGTTGCACCCAAGGATGCAGTCAGTTGTTGCTTACCACCAGTGTCCCATTCGTTCAAGCGGTCAAGGGCGCGGTCCATATCTTGGGTTCTTTCCATGTGCTTCTCCACGGCATTGAGGACGTCCGTCACCACTGCAGAGGTCTGACCGTATCCACTGAACATACCAGACAGCTGGGAATCGAATCGATGAGGGAGAATAAGGAACTTTCAGTTAAGCCACACCGCAACTTCAGAAGTTATCATCGTTTTGTTCTTACCTTTGAGCGACCTCTTCGAATCACCGTGTCCCATTTGTGCATTAGATTGGTGAACACCCACTCAATGAGCTCGTTGCGAATCCACGACAGATCTTCGAGGGGTCTCGACGTTGCCTTTGCGTCTCCATTTTGGGAGGCTTCGATGATTTCCTCTTCCCCCAACGCGTTGCCCTCGGCATCGGCCATGCCACTGGCATCCACAACGTGCACGAGGACAACTGCATCCGTAAGATCATTGAGGAACTTGTTGCCTCTTCCTCTCCCTTGGTATGCACCAGGGACCAATCCTGCAACATCCTTGAGCAAAACTGGCAGCAAACGACGACCTTTACTGTCTCTACCATGACTACAGCCAACCTGAAACTTGCTCAAGATGGCTTCGTCTGCGTCCTCTTCCGGGCAGGTGCCTTTTGGTGCTGGAACGAAACAAAAGCCAATGTTGGGATCGATGGTTGTAAACGGGTGGGGTGCCATGGACGCCCCGCCGAGCACATTGTCGGCATCGTCGCGTTGTCTAGCAAAAGCCGACGCTGTATTGAAGAATGTACTCTTCCCTTGGCATGATGAGGCAATAGTAAGCTAACAACTAACAACTCTAGAAGAAGCAACCAAGCAAGGACCGCCTCTGTGTGAATCAACCTACCTGCACTTGGCTTTCCCACCAAGCCAATGGTATAATTCCAGTTCCCCCCCTTGCCTGATAGCAACGGAGTGCCAGAGGACTCATCCTGTCCCGTCGTCGATGATTGTGGTGCTCGCCCCAAAAGCGCCTCGGCAATCTCGAGACCTTCCATGTTGCATTGATGAATACGTTCCGCCGATGCCTGCTTCAATAATGTCGATCCCACAGACGTTGATTCTGCTTGGTCCATGTTGTTGTTGTCTTCCTTCTCGGCTTGTCCTTCTTGCGCCGACACAACGTCGTCCACCGCCGCACCATCAGCAATTTCCTCTCCCGCATCAAGAAATTCACGTGCCGCACTGGGATGAATGAATATTGTATCATTATTAGCAACTGAACACACAACCACACAACACAACAAAGGAAAGAGTCATGATTACTACGGTACAGTACTTACTAGAAACACGAAAGGACACATGGCATTCCCCGTTCCGCATTGGCGGCCTCTTGAATGGCTCTCATACACGCCATTGCCTTGGCACTGGAGAATTCCATGACGTTGTTTTCATGGACCAGTTGGAGTTCTGGTATGGCTTCGTCACTGGGATAATTGTGCGGATAAGTGACACCCAAAGACAGAGGATGTTTGGGCCAATGGCCTCCCGTTCCAGGCTCTTCTGGTCGTAATGCCATCTGATACCGAATGGGATGTTTGTAGGCGGTCTCTCCGGTGTCGTCATTCATGGTAGTCTTGGACAGGATGGTGATTTCTTCGGGATAAATGGCAGTCAATGCCTCGACTTCGTCTTGCTGTGCTTGAGCCGTCTCTCCGTCGGGGTCCACATGTTTTGGTTGATGTGTCGGTGGCGACTGTGGCTCTGGCGACGACTGTATTATTGCTTCTTTGTTGTTGTTTCTGTTGATGCTGTTCAACTCTGAGGAATCTGAAGAAATTGATCGACGTATAAAGTCGAGAAAGGCTTGAACATTGGGTGCCTTCATGGGAACATGATGGCCTTTTTCGTGTGCATGGATCTGAGGATTTTGGTAGGATTCCATGACGGCCTGACTTTCGGATGGCGGTATGAGAGGATCCGTTTCCCCCCAAACATGAAGACTCGGAATTGCAATACTCCTACAATTCGTCGACAAAGCAGCATCCAGTTGACAGGCTTGAAGGGTATCTGGCCAATTGTCGGGTAGTGGCCTGTGGTATCCTGCCACCATGATTACAAACTGGAGTCCCTCAAAAGGGATCTTATTATCGTCTTTGCTGCCACATTGTGATTGTTGTTGCTTGGCACACTGATGCATTAGAGCCATCAAGTGAGCCAATCTTGCACCCTGACTAAACCCCATGATCCCCACAAAGCTTCCTGGCGGCTCGATATTCCAAAGATCCAATAGCATTCCCATAGAAATCTCCAGTCCTTGGTACGTATTGTCGTGTCGATCCCACCACTGCCGTAGATTGGTATCCTCGGGATGATCAAAGGGGCCATCGGGTGCCACCATTTGCAAACACAGATCGTCTGTCTTTTGCAGAGCCTTGCAAAGCTTGTCCATTCGTCCCAACAACAAGGGTCCTGTTTGACGACTGCCATGAAGCACCAAAATCTTTTTGGCATCATCTGGCAGACGACCACGCGGTTGCTTTCCACGGCCTCGACCGCCACCACGGCCTCTGCCTCGGTTGGGGCGTCGTTGGCCCTCTTCACTCTTCATTATTGTCGTTCTTGCTACCTAAGAACTACGAACTATGGGTGGATCCTGGTCCATCAAGTGGATGGACTCCCGTGCGGTTGTGGTGTGGGTTGTGTGGGTGTTGGCTTTCGCTGGAGGTAGATTGATTTGCCTCCTTGGGTTAGGGTTAAAAAACGACACAACAATCTTCCACGCTGCTTGTTGGGCAGCCGCAAATTGGGTCCTACAACGGGGGTTTAGAGTTGGGTACCTGGTACCTGGATTGTTCAAAAGATGTACCATAGCGTCCATGCAGCTGGGGACTTCCAAGCACCAGGAAACTCTCCAACGTGAACTTTGGAAGCCTTTCCAGCAATCCATCCAGAGCTCCAGTTGGGGGTAGAGAAGCAACTTTTTGGAGGTTGTGTAACTATTACGGGTACTAATCCATATTGTATACGGTATGGTATGATACTACACGAGGAGGGTGGCTACACTGCAAGATATTCAAATACGGTAGGTCACCTGCACACCAATAGTTTGCCAATAGTGTTGGTGTTCCCTTGATCACCTTGCTTTGCTCGTTTGCCAGTGCTCTTTATCGCCCATCCATCAAGCCAACTTGGGGCCCTTCCACTTGAAGCCAATGTCTCTGAGCTGCTGAATTTGCTCCAACTGGAGCAGAGAATCACGGCCCTTTCGGAACCGCTTGTACTCATATCGTTGCGTAGTTACCCACTTGGCAAGTTGAGAAGGACTCGTTGGATTCACCATAATGTTGCAATGGCCCATGGCTCGTTGAAACTTTTGGAGCTCTTCCAACTGTTCGTCCCATGTAGGCTGTGCTGGGTACCTCCTTCCCCAGGAAAACCCAATACCCTCCAACTTGGTGATGCGCTCTTGCGAAATCTTGGTACCGGACTTGCCTTCCTTCAAGGCTGCATAGAATTGACGTTGATTCGTTGCCCACTTGGCAAGCTTCTTGTTCATCTCCTTGGATACGTTGCAATCACCGTGAACAATACGATACTCTCGCAGCTCCCTAAATCGATTTGTCCACGGATCCTTTTCGTTTTCGACAGAGTCTTCGTCGTCGTCATCGCTTAAGTCTTCCTCCTCTTCTTTTGATGCTGCAGTTGCCTTGAGTGCTAACTCTAGTTCCTTCTTGGTATCCAAAAGTTCCTGCTCCTTTTGGGCCAGCTGGTGCTTTGTCTCTTGCAATTCCTTCTTGATGTCTTCGAAACTCATGTCATTGTTGGAATCACTCTGCTCGGCGTCAATGATGTTGGTGGTGTCGGGCTCTTTGCGCTTTTTGCTGTTGTTGGGTGACGTGGTGACGATTTCTTGTCGGCTCGTACCGGTGGGGTAGCAAGCGATTTGCAATACGAACTGCAACCAACCGTGTGGGGAAACCGAAACGAAAAGCAGTTTTTTGTACGATATCCAAGCAAGGAACAACCACGCTCAGATGGTTGGAGTCGACCACGCTCCGTTTCAAGGCAGTTTCATGGCTGCCTATCGAAGACCAAACGCATCAGTCGGGAAACAGTGGTCATGAGCTACGGCACGAGATACGTACGACACGAATCTTTTTTCTCTCAATGTATGGTACTTCCTCTACCAAAATATGTCCTTGTGAATGGATAGGGAAACTTGAGTGCCTCACGAGCCAACAACCAATTATCAAGTCGGCTCGTCGGCTCTACGCTACCGGTACGGTAAATCATGGACCGGTACCGGTACCGTACCAGTACGTTCGCCGAAAGGAAGAGGTGCGGCGGGATGAGTGGCCCAGTCGAGTGACACGAGAGGAGTGCCAAGCATGTTGGAGTGATGTGTGCCGGCATCGTTCAAAACACTGCATGCCTGCTATGGTAGTGCTACGGTAATACGAGTACTACGAGTATGGACAGCGAAACGTTACAGCAAACCGAAACGAAAGAGTCCCACGACGTTGTCAACCGTCCGACGCGAGTTTTGTCGGATTAAATGCCTTCGTGCTTTCATAATCGAGACCATAAGCCCATCTGCAAACGCTTCCTTGTTGCTTGCTTGTCTCTCATCAACTAACTCAATACGCTCTTGACAATGGCTTCCAACGACGCTCTGGAATTCGGAACCAAGCTCCTGGTGGATTACTGGGACTCGAAAGATGTCGACGCCTTTGTCGGTTGCTTCACCGAAGACGCCGTTTGGACCGTCAACACGTCTCCCCCAGCGCAGGGAATCGAAGCCGTGAAGCAAGTCACCGAAGCTCTCATGAGATTGACCAAGGGTTCCAAGCATTCCGAACTGGTTGGGTTGGTTTCGAACGATGGAACCACCTACACGGTTTATGGAAAGGTGTCCTACGAAATCGAAGGCTACGAGGGTGCTGTGGATTGCTCGTTTTGCGATGTCATCACCGTGAAGGATGGAAAGGTCGCAGAGTGCTCGACGTTCATGGACACGGCCCCCTTGAACCCCTCTCCTGACGCTAGTAGTGGCTGAGGCGACGATAAAGATGGTTTTGCAGCGATGGCTTGTGGATTGCTCATGATGACGTTTGATTTTTGCTTGAAGTCTCGGGTTTGATCCACGATTCGCGTCCACGGCTTCATTGAATAAAATAAATATATTATTGCTATTATGTTGGCGATCAGGCATCTACGTAGCTAGCTAGTTAGCTTTTTCGTATTGGCCATCCGTATCTTGCAATGGTCCCAAAGGATCCTTCACCTTGTGCCTGGACCAGATCCAGCTGCATCCAGCTGCACTCTACTTTTGCGTTTGCGGAAGTAAAGGGAGTGTCGAAACATGCACCAAAGTGATATATATACCGGGCAGACCCCGGTGATCTCTGACCCCGTTTATTGTGGTGGTGGTTGGTTGGTTTTGGTTGGTTGGTTATCCTTAGGGTTAGAGTTTAACTAAAACCGAGGCCCCTCTCTTGGGCCCCCACATTTCTTACACATTCTCTTTTATAGCAACGGATCCTGAATATTTTCCTCACATTTGCACACCTCTAAGCTCCCGTAAGCTACCATGCCACTTTCTCAGACGGAAAAATCTAACGTCTCACGTTGCACACGTCTAAGCTCCCGTAAGCTACCACGCCGCTTTCTCAGACGGAAAAATCTAACGTCTCATGTTGCACACCTCTAAGCTCCCGTAAGCTACCACGCCACTTTCTCAGACGGAAAAATCTAATGACACTACCTTCAGCCAAACTTCAACAATATTACTATGCCGGCCCATGCTCGCCCGGTATATCTATTACACCTCCGGTGTCCTTTCTTTATTGGCTTTCAGTGTCTCGAGAGATACCAAGGAAAGTGCTTCCATCATGGGCAGGCCACTTGTTGTGATATCTCATATCGGTCATAGAAATCAATGGAGTTGACCACCCAAAACATCATGGAAGGATCTTCGGTGACGATGACCAATTCCAACCGGTCGTCCTTCCACAATGAAGAGATCCTGGGCAATAATTTTGCATCGGCGACATTGACCAAAGCGAACGACGAAGAAGTTGCCGTCATGGTTGGAATTGATGAACGTGGCGAGCATCGACGAGTCAAACCATTTCTGTATCTTGTGGTGGGTATTGTTTCCATGTGTGGTCTCTTGTATGGTTTGGATCTGGGCAGTGTTGGTGCAACATTTGTGATGGATGGTTTTCGTCAACACGTCAACTGGGACTGTTCTTCTGCCTCAGACAACTGCGAAAGCACTGCGGACCGGGACAAAGGCTTGATCAGTTTCTTTTTTGGCATTGGAGCCACCATTGGTTCATTGGTGAATCCATACTTTGCCGAACGATATGGCCGCCGACCCTCCTTGGCACTTTCCACTCTCATATACGCATTTGGCTCTGCAATTCAAACCTTTGCTCCCTCCATGCAACTCTTGTGGACTGGGCGATTCTTTCTCGGTACTGGCATTGGAATGTTGTCCATGGTTGCTCCTGTATATGTGGCTGAAGTTGCTCCTGACCGTGTTCGTGGAAGCATGGGAATCCTCTATGATTTGAGCACTGCCCTAGGCATTGTCACTGGATCTGCTGCCAGCATTGGCCTCAAAGAATGGCAGAATGGATGGCGCATCAGCTATGAGGTTGGATTGCCATTTGCTCTCCTTTTGCTGCTGACTCTGGCGTTGAAGGTGGTACCAGAGTCACCAAGGTGGCTAGCTGCCCAAGGTCCTGAGCAAGACTTGGTTCTCACCTTGAAGCTCTTGCGCTTTGAAGAGGAACTCGAGTCAGAAACAGAAACCCTTCACAAGGAAGTTCAAGAATTGCGTGAAATAGGGGAAGCTTCCTGGCCAGAAGTCTTCTCCACCAACAATATGATGCGACGTCGTGTCATGCTGGGAGTGTTCTTCTTTGCCATTCAGCAGCTCAGTGGTGTAGCAGCAGTCCTCTTCTATGCCCCAGATGTCTTGAATACCTTCTTTGAAGAAGATCAAGCCATTTTGGGTACTCTGGCCTTGACTGTCCTTGGTTTCTTGTCCACCACTGCAACTGTGGTGGCTGTGGATCGCCTTGGACGAACCAAGCTACTTGTCTATGGTGGAGCCATCATGTTCCTTTGTCTTGTGCCCCTGGCTGTCCTTGCCTCATTGGAGCAAAGTGAGTGGGTTGGGTGGGCTGTTCTGGTGTTGTCTGGCATCTTTATTGTCAGTAGCTTCATTAGTTGGGGTCCTGCATTGTATGTCCTCTGCTCGGAAATGTTCCCCTATCGCACTCGCGGCAAAGCCAACGGTGTCACCAGTATGTCACACTGGCTCTTTGCATCAGTGGTGGGAGCTGTCTTCCCCATTGCATCGTCCGCCTCCCTGTCGGGGTGCTTTATCTTTTTTGCCATTTGCATCTTCTCAGGGACCAGTGCAGTCTATTTCCTACAGGTCGAGACCACGGGCAAGACCTTTGCCGAGATTGATGAAGCCTTTCTCCAGCACAAACCAACCTTCAAGCGCAAAGATTGGTAGTCGTCGGCAGCCAACTACATGTAACTAGCGAGTACTAAACAGAGAGACGAGTAATGGGCCAGCCAGCATGGAATCCTCATTGCCAATCATACGCAATCAGCCAAAAGGTAAACGACGCATCATCCCTAAAGGGGGTGAAAGCCAGCTAGCTCTGTCTGCTTTGGTAGATTCATATGTCTTCTTTGGATATGGTAGCACAAGCTACTCTTCCCTTCTTCTCTTCTCGTACTCTCTTCCCTTGTGGATGGGTGCGTTCTTGTGGTCCAATTGCATATTGTCAGAGATCGAGAGTTCTGTCTCCCGCAGGCGAGGGTCAACACTCCCGCTCGGCTCAGGCTTTCGGCTGTGCTTTCGGTCTTGGTGGCAAAGTGCCTAACCCTAACCCTAAATTCGGCTTTTTTTCAGCGTTGGTCTCCTGTTTCCTCAGGAGCGTTCCTCAATCGTGCATAAACCGACCCTAAAATAGGGTCGGATTTAGGGTCGGGTTCCCTTTAGGGTCGGGTTTCGAAACCGACCCTAAAAATAGGGACGTTTTCTGAAAAATAGGGACGGTTTCTGAAAAACCGTCCCTAATTTAGGGTCGGGTTTCGTTTTAGGGTCGGGTTTGAAAAACGTCCCTAAATAGAAACGGGACTGCCTGGTAAATACATTGAAAACGCACCAATATTAGGGTCGGGTTTCGAAACCGACCCTAAAAATAGGGACGTTTTCTGAAAAATAGGGACGGTTTCTGAAAAAACGTCCCGAATTTAGGGTCGGGTTTCGATTTAAGGTCGGGTTTTGAAACCGTCCCTAATATTTAGGGACGGTTTCAAAACCCGACCCTAAATTAGGGTCGGATTTAAAGTCATGCACGATTGAGGAACGCTCCAGTTTGCTCGCTACTTGGATCCAATAGATGCAATCCAGCCATTGTATAGCCAGCTACGGTACCGTAGGCAGAGAGTTACATCGATCCGTGACAGTGGCAACAGTACCGAACACACTCAGGTTCCGCTTTACTGGCTACACTCCGTTACCGGTACCTTGCATTGAATCCTTATGACGAATACATACACAACCGAACATTGTCAATCCAGCCATCGTAGCCAGTTACAGTAGAGTTCATCGATCAGTGACAGTGGCAACAGTACCGAACACACTCACACTTAGGTCGCTGCACTCGGTTACCTCGCATTGGATCCCTATGACGAATACATGCACAAAACCGACTATTGTTAATCCAGCCATTGTAGTCGGCTACCGTACAGTTACATCGGCGACAGTGTCAACAGTACCGAACACACTCAGGTTCCGTTTTGCAGGCTACACTCGGTTGCCGTTATCTTGCATTGGATCCTTATGACGAATAGACTAGCCTACATGCACAACCGAACATTATGAATCCACACATTGTTGCCGGCTGCGGTATAGCTACATCGACGACAGTGGCAACAGTACCGAAAGTTCGGCTTTGCTCGCTACCGGTACCTCGCATTGGATCCTTATGACGAATACATGCACAACCGAATATTCTCAATCCAGACATTGTAGCCAGTTACCGTAGAGTTACATCGATCCGTCACAGTGGCAACACAACCGAACACACAGGTTCCGCTTTACTGGCTACACTCCGTTACCGGTACCTTGCATTGGATCCTTATGACGAATACATGCACAACCGAACATTGTCAATCCAGCCATTGTAGCCAGCTATCGTTGAGTTCATCGATCGGTGACAGTGGCAACAGTACCGAACACACCCAGGTTCGACTTTGCTCGCTGCACTCGGTTACCTCGCATTGGATCCTTATGACGAATACACGCACAACGGAATATTGTCAATCCAGCCATTGTAGCCAGATGCCGTATAGCTAGTGGCAACAGTACTTGATTTGCGCATGCAGGAAAATGGGTACCGACACAGGAATCACCACCAAAACAGTAGGAAATAACAAGAAGGGATGAATCCGGTAGGAGGATCCACTCTCTTGTGTGTTGTTGCCTCTTCCGGTGGCTGTTGCCTTTCAATGACTCGACGACAATAGGCTCCTCTGTTCAGGCTGTTGGTAGGGCTGGAGTTAACAGAGCCTCCTCCTCCGTAGCGGTAGCCTCTCCTCTTGTTATCCGGAGCGATCGATCGTCGACAATGGTAGTTCCTCGGCCGTCAGCAGTAAGAGAACAGAAAGTAAGATATAGATATGGTTTTCTCTTCTATTCTGATACTGTGGACGACCGGAGACTTACCCTTGTTTTTCAACTTGGCCGTCATGGGCCGAGAAATGATTGCCTTCCTGCGGTCCATAGGATTGAAATGAGGGATGGCTTTCGAATCTGCACCGGAGACGACCGGCTTGAGTGAGGCTTGACAATAGAGATAATAGAGGTGCGACCGACCGATTGATTCGAATAATTTAATAAAGAACAACTCACCTGTTGACGGTCAAGCTCGGATTTATCTCCTGAATACCATAGAAATCCAATGAGAAAGAGAAGTCAGCGCTGTACCTTCAATTAACACTCTTGATAATAGGCTTACCTCATTGCGATCGATTCAACTGAGGCCGATTGGATAAAGCACTCACCATTGTTGTCGGCCAAGCTTGGATTTACCTCCTGTTTACCATAGGAATTCAATGAGGGAGAGAAGTCACTGCTGCGCCTTCAATGATGGACTTGCGACGAAGCAAGTGAACAGATCGGCAGCATGCAGAGGTGCGAGGATACGGTAGGAGTACCGGTACTGATTAACTTTAACCTTAGTAACTTCAACGGTTCCTTTATCCACGAATGGATCTATTTTTATCGAACGAGAACCTGTTACTTAACGATACACATGACCGTTGATTCTGCAACTGAAGTGCGGGTACTCTATTTTACACAGTAAACGCCGGCAAATCGATTCCAGAGTGCTACTGAGGGGGTAACCAAAAGGAGCGTGGTCTGGGAGACCAAACAGCAGACACAACAAGACAACCCCCAACCTTCAGGGTCGACAAACAAAAGGATAGGAGAGCGAAATCACAAACAAATCAATCACGATGGCGGATCCAAACAACCCCCTTCCTGCTCTCCCCGCAAACTCTTGTCAATGATCCTTGGTTTCTCTGGGTTCAGCAACAAATGGTTGCTTTGCAGTTGCAAAACGAAGACCAGCAGAACAAACTAGATGAAATTGATTCATATTTTGAGTTGCGAGAACTGGCCACACGATTGGACCGTGTTATCGTGAAGGATCTTCTTGCCGCTGTGGAGCCACTGGAGCTTGTCCCTCCTGGGGTTCCAGTTGTTGTGACGACTATCAGTGGATTGCAGCTCTATAATCTTCTTGATCGCCGCTATCAAGAGCGCGTGGAAATGCTGCCTCCCGGTTTGAGCTTGGAGACCCTAGGAGCAATCGGGGGGGTGCTCTCTTCCTTCAAGATGCGTGCAGATAGCTTCGCTCACGATCGGGTGTTCGATGATGTCAAGTTGCAAAGCTTGATGGATCAAGTTTTCCCCTACATCGGCGGTTGTGGAACGGGCCAGTATGGGCGACTGTTGATTCAGTGGATTTACGACAAATACTGTATTCTGACTATCTGAAAAGTGGCAGCAAGCAAGCCTTCAAAGACGGAGAGCAAATCCCGTTTCATCGTCTAAAAGAACAAGCAGAACGAGCCGCTGCGTAGAGGGAGTGCACAGGAAATGGGAAAGAATGGATCAGCACAGTATCATTGCTAATCATACTCAATCAGCCAAAGGTAAAAGACGCATCATCCCTAGGGGTGGCGAAAGCCTAGCTAGCTCTGCCTTCTTTGGTAGATTCTTCTTTGGATATGGTAGCACAAGTTACTCTTCCCTTCTTCTCTTCTCGTGCTCTTCCCTTGTCAATGACTGCGTTCTTGTTGTCCAACAGCAAACCGTCCGAAAGTGAGAGTTCTGTCTGTGTGTTAGCAGAGGCTCTACGAGCACCTGGACACAGCATTACTATCCCACAGCCAGCGCTAGTGTGGGGTACCTGGCATCCTTGAAACTTGCCCACACAGGTCAAAGATTGGGCGGGTGGCGACATGGTCAGCCAACCTGTTGCTCCGCCTCTCGAGATAAGTCAAGATGGGATGCAGGCCGGCTATGCTCAGAGCCTCATCAACTGGTGGATAATGCGAAACGCCTCCAATGAGCTTTGGCATCTTGCCGGAAATCCGGCGAGCCACCTTGTGATGAAAACCTTCCAAAATGCGGAGGACGGTGGAAATGAGGGTCCATGTCTTGGACCCACATGCAACAACACCGTCTGGAAAGTGTCGCAAAAGCTGAATTTACTACTGTTGACGGCCAGACTCCTAAACAAATGTGCGACTTTTTCATTTTTGGCGAAGGTTGAATTGACCCGGTGGTGCATAGTTCAACACTTTGAAACTGTTGACTAAAGTGTTGACTAAAGTGTTGACTACCATTCAACACTCTGTTGAAACTCTTTCAACAGTTTTGTCAACAGCCAGTCAACAGTTTTTTCAACACTTTATAAGAATATTCAACAGTTTTCGAACTGCCACAACTAGCATCGACCATGGCCAAGAAGGGACGCAAGAGCAAGAAGCAAGCTGTAGAGGACGAAGAGACTTGGGCAAAGAGCAATGCTAAGGCTTTATTGAAAGATGATATCATCTCCGGCAGACTGAATGGCATGATGCCACAACAAATCCACCAATCTCGCCCCGAATTTCTTGCGTATGGTTTGAGCCAATTTCGAAGCAACTACTACACTCTTCGAGATGCTGTTGCAAAGAATTTCAATCGGATGGCAAAGGACTGCATGTACTTTGGAATGGATATGAGTTTGATGAAGCAGCTACGGGCAAATAATCCACAAGAAAAGATTCCTTGGCACAGGTCCCCGGCAAAAAAACTACTCGAAATCGACATCGCGACTGGCATCCATCTGCAGATTGACCCAGAGACTGGCAAGAAGAGGAAACCATTATCAATCTACAAGTCTAGAGAGGAGTACCAAGACCACGATCTCAAAGTGTTTCGAAATCACATCTATCAAGAGATCAAGAGGCTCGAAAAGAGAGAGAGCAATTTGCGTTTTGAAAAGAAAAAGTATCGGGTTCGAACTATTATTGCGGTGGAAGATGCCATTGATTTGGTGCAGAGAGGAGAAATGAAAGAGTCAGAAGAAGCAGTTAAGAGGATGGTGGAAAAGCAGCAAGAAGAAGCCGACAATGAGCAGCAGCAAGAAGAAGCCGACAATGAGCAGCAGCAAGAAAAAGATGACAGGTCAGCAATCAGCGTCGCAACTGGTGGCAGCAGCACTGCCTCAAAGTCGTCTAGCATTTTAGCAAGGAAAAGAGCTGCAGCATCTAAAAAGAGGGCGACAGCTGTTCCTTAGATAGACTTTAGAAAAGTGATGAAATAGATAACTATAGTAGGCTTTGGCAATACAGCCACGAAGACGAAAGCAACACGTCTAGCCAGACAGCTCTTTCAATTCTTTCTGGGCATCCTCCCATGTTTTCTCCAGGCCATTTTTCAATTTGCCGATGAAGTCATCAACGTCTCCACCATCTCCTGTGGCATTCCTAGTCGACTCGGCTCCTTGGCTGTCAACTCTTTTGATGGTAGCATTGGTAACCTCGAAATTTGTGTCAATGGCAGCAACTTGTCCAGCTGTTGGCTTGCTTCTATCAATGGCGGCAACTTGTCCAGTTGCTTGCTTCTTCCCTTGTTTTGCCTGGTTCAGAAAGACATCCATCATCCGTTTTGTACGCAGCACTGATTCTTTCTTGATCTTGCCTAACTTGCGACGACTGTTCTCTCGTTCAGTCTTCCATTCTGTTGGATCAAAGGATCGGATGTTTGTCAGCTCCTTCTGTCGCTTCAGTGGTTTCTTTGGATGGTCCTGTTGGAAAAGCACAATTGCAATTTCCTCCGTTGGAAGGGGTGGAGGTAGTGGTGCTGGTGCTGGTGCCGGAGGCAGTGGCGCTGGAGGCAGTGGTAGTGGTGGTGGTGGAGGAGGCAGTGGCAGTGATGGTGGTGGAGGCAGCGGCTTTGGCAACTCTTTGTTGGTTGGCTTGTCTGCTTCGACTGAATCTTCTTTGGAGACCTCGCTCTTGTTGCTTTCAACGTCTTCTTCCTCACTGCTGGCGATGAGTTCTATTACACAGAAAGAGTGACATAAAACATGTGGTTAGTAGTGATTAGTTCAGAGAATAGACTAGTGGCTGGAAACAAGCAAACAGACAAGCAGCTCGAAGGATCATCAAGGATGGAGGGAGAGAAGCAAGAGGCCAATTATCAATCATCCGCATCCATGTCATTGTTGCCTCCTGATTCAGAGCCACCTCCTCCCTTCTCAGATTCCAAGGAAACAGATGAGACGGAGGCATTGTCTTTCTTCTTTTTCTTTTTCTTCTTCTTTTTCTTGTCAGCTTGCTTTTTCTTCTTGGCTTTCTTCTTCTTGGCTTTCTTCTTTTTCTCTTCATCCGAAGAGGATGCCGAAGAAGTCGATTCATCATCTGAGGTACTCTCCTCGTCTTCTTCTTCTTCCTCCACCTCCTCTTCATCAGATGTGTCGTCACCGTACTTGGGCTCACCTTTCGCAGTGAGCTGCATCCCTTTGAAAAGGGACTTCAAAGACACTCCCTTCTTCTTTTTCTTCTTCACATCGATGTCATTCTCACCGTCTTCATCAATCACACGCAAACTGAAGAAGGAAGGGAAGAACATTTGTTGCATCTATTCGGCATCCTCGCCTTCTCCTACATATGACTTCCTGACTTCCATCAACCGAAGATTCAACCTGAGCTTCTGATCATTGATAGGGGGGTCCGACGACTTCATATCAGTTGTCGCCACGATATTATCAGGCCACACAAAGAGCACATGTTTCCAGCGGCGTGGCGTAAGATCGTTTTCTTCGTCTTCGGACTTGAGGATTGCATTGCAGGCAGCAGCTACCTTCTTCTTGGTTTCGTTGCACTTCTTCTTTTCTTTCTGCAATAGCTTCTTGTGGTACAGGAGAAAGTAGTTGGGGACCCATGGCATGCGCAAGAGAAAAGCTGCCCCATCAAGGACGTTCCATCCATAGATTTGGTGCGCATCAGACAAGTCAATAGTAGTTGACAGACGTAGATCAATCTTATCAAACATTTGAGCTCCATCCTTTGTTTCACAATCTGGGATGAGCTGGACCCAGAACATAGGACCACCATTCCTCTCGGGGAAGTCAAAGTCGACCATAATGACCTCATCAGAAAACTCTTTTGCCTCTTCGAGGCTTCCAAAGCGGCTATTGCGCTTGGCCGCAGGCGATCCAAATGATGCCACCGATGCCTTGGAAGCCAACTTCTTGGTGGGTGTTTTGTTGGACATGTTTGCTGTCTTTGTTTGTGGTGTGCTCTGGTGAGAAACGGGGACAACGGGAGTTCTCTTCTTGCTGGGTGTGTGTTGCTTCTTGATAACGATGCTCTTCTTGGGAATCTTGTCAACTATGGGTTCGGTCAACGCAGATACCACTGTGCCACTGTCTTGTAATATTGCTTCGGGCGTAGGATCAGACTCAGCTACTTGTTCTTCCTTGTCGTCGTTGTCGTCGTCGTCGTCGTCGTTGTCCTTGGTCTCTCGGTACCGGTGGGATTCACTCTAAATGCACTCTGCAACGATGCTTCCAGCTTTTCCGTAGAGCTCCCAGTACTGTTGTGGATCCTCTTTCTTGATCCGATTCAAATAGTTAAATCGGTTGCGAAACGCTCCTTGCTGTGGGTCACCCTTCTTATAGTAGACCGGATACAGCTTACACAATTGCTTGAACTGAAGGTGTGGGTGCTTTTCAATATCCAGCAGAATCTGATGCCGTTGTGCGGTGGATAGGACTGATAGTACTTCTCTTGTTGTGCTTGTCTTGTTGGCAGTGGAGGCTGCACTATCGGGCGCCTTTCCCTGCTTGTCGCCCTTCTTCTTTGCCGGAGGTTTCTTGGGCTGATGAGTGCCTACCTCGTCTGATTTTTTGTGCTTACTTCGTGTTGTTGTTGGCATTGTAGCTAGTATTAGATTGAGCGCCGGAGTTGTGACTCGATCGGAGGTGCTGTTCCGTTGATGCCATCATTGTTTGCAAGAAAAGTCCACGCATTGTTGCGCCATTCTTCAAATTGTGCCAAGCGAAATCTTTCGGGATATGAAAACTACAAGTCATGAGATAACATTAATGGCCAGGCTTCGATTAAATAGGATGTTTATGGATTTTACTTAATCACGAGAGAATTTTCAAGCTGGCGGCCTCGAAGATCGCTGGGCGGCCCCCAAAGATCTTTTCGGAAACTTGATTGTGACGGATGGATCTTTGTTCGCAACGAGGAAATCATTGTTTCGTCCACGCTCACTCAAAGCTCCACAAAACAAGAGAGGTCAACTACAAGAAGGAATTGAACAATGGCAGAAGGCCAAGAAGCAAAGGAAGATGAGGCTCTTCAAACACTTAAGCTGACATCGCAAGAATTTCTCGCTATCGGGCTGGATATTACGGTCGGCAAGGATAAATGGATCCACTTCAAAGCAGAGAGATCGGAAGATCGATTTAGATCCGCTTATGGGGCTGCCACGTTGACTGCTTCGGAAATGTGGAATGATTTGGTTGACAAGGGAGAGATAAAGAAGAATACAAAGCCAATGTACCTTCTTCTTGCCCTTCGCTATCTCAGGAGCCATGATACGCAAGACGATCTGATGATCTTCTTCAAGATTGGGAGCAAAAACACCATTTCAAGGTGGTGTCATGCGTTCGTTAGAAAGGTTCAGCTGCTACTGAAAGATAAGATGCTTAGCTTTGAAGAGGCCGATGATGGAATGATCTTCTTCATGACAGTTGATGGAACACATTGTCGAATTGAAGAACCTCGCCCTTTCTCAAAAGAGTGGTCAAGTCACAAGTTCGGAGGCAAGGCAGCTTTGAACTACGAAGTTGGCTTAAGCATTCACAAAGAGAGACTTTGTTGGCTGTATGGTCCTACCAAACCAGGAAAGCACAATGATCTTGAAGTTGCTCGTATGAGTCTTTTCCCAACGCTGCGTGCATACAACCAACAACACAACAAAGACCCGTGCTTGAGAATCGTTGCAGATGGCATTTACGCTGTCCAAGCTGAACAAGACATTGTATCAACTGAGAACGAGTTTGATCCTCCTGATCTGGCTAAGTTTAAAGAGCGAGCGTTGTCGCGGCAGGAAGAATTCAACAATTTGCTCAAGAAGTTCAAGGTGCTGGACACAAGGTTCCGATATGAGCAAGGGTCCGACTTTCTAGCTGAACACAAGACTTGCTTTGAAGCTGTCGCAGCTGTCGTTTGCTACTCTCTAGACAACAACACAAGCAACCTTTTCGAAGTCTACGAGTAGAGAGGTTGCCGATATTGCGTGTTGTTTGTTGTCATGGTCGTCAACAAGGCATTCAACAGTTTTGTCAACAGTTTTGTCAACAGTTTTGTCAACAGTAACATGGTTCAACACTTTATTCAACACCCATTCAACAGTTGTTGAGCCCGATTCAACACTTTTTTCAACAGTTGTTGAAGACTTATTCAACAGTTTTCCGGATAATTCAACAGTCGCTTGAAGCATTAAGCACTTGCCACCGGAAAATGGCTTTTCAACAATAAACAATAAACAAAAATGACGTCACCGTCGCCAAATTCAACGTTTGCGTCACTTTCCTGGACCGCGGCCTTGCAGAGTTCTGTCTCCCGCAAGCGAGCACCCGAAGGTCAACAGGCTTTCGCTTCCCCCCTTGTGAACTTCGGGCTCTGGTTGCATGCATGTACGCAGTCAGATTTATTGCTGACTTGATGCATTCGGGATTGTGAACTGTGAACGCAAGAGGTGTCCTTGCCGGCAAGTGGAACAGTCGCTCGTCAGTGGAACACTGGGAGGTAGAACTGATGACCTGCAGGTCTGCATGCAATAAATCCGGCAATGACTCGACTGGACTCTCCGGTAGCTTTCCAGTTCGTCTACTGTACAGTATGTTCTGTGCATCTACGTTCTGTAACGCAGCGGAGAATTCATTGTGTCTGCAGCTGTTGCTGCTACACTGTACCTGGTACCGGTACCAGCTACCAGCTACCAGCCACTAATTACGAGTACCGGTGCTAGCTTGGTACATGTGTGCGTACCGGTTTGCATGTGGTGGTACGGCGTTACCGGCGATACATGCAGACATGCAGTTGCTCATGCAGCACTCCGAGAAATGCGAGTTCGTTCGTTCGTTCGTTCGTTCTTTCAGTTTTGTACAACTAACTGGGGACGAACGAATCCAGTGACATCCATTATAGTTGCGAAGGAAAGCTTGGAACGGTGTCGAAGCAGGGATTCTGATGTCTGCTTCTCCGTTTTCTGATGCTCCCATAAAGTTATATAGGTCCATTTTGAACCGTCCCTTTCCTCAGAGCTGCGACTTTCAGTGCCTTCAAACCAGACTTTTCTTTAAATCTTGGTCTTTGGTATCTTTAAGTGAGGGACATTAGAATTTAGAATATTATATGAAACTGCGATGCACTGACAAGCTACTGACATAAGGAACCATGTTGCTTCGAACTCTTGAAGAGCAGCCGACTTTGAGCCAGCAAAACAGCTGGCAAAAACGAGAAGTTTTGGTCCTGCAAGGTGGGGAACCAGACTGCAATCCTTTTTTGACAGTTTCTCAAATGAGAAAGTAGTTTCTCATTTGAGAAACTAAGTTCTGAAATGAGAAAGTTAGTTTCTCATTTGGTTGAAATGAGAAACTATCTTTTGAAATGAGAAACTATGTATAGAACTGCTAGTACATGTGTTGTGATTTCTGCCAGAAATGAGAAACTATTTTATCAAATAAGAAACTAAAACTGTTAGTTTCTCAAATTGAGAAACTAAAAATAAGAAACTAAAACTAAAAATGAGAAACTAAAACTGTTTGAAAAATTTCAAAACATCATTGGGGTTTCCGGACCTTGCTGTACCGGTACCAGCCAAATACAACCCGCAGCCGGAAGCCCCCCAGATTCTAGCTAGCTAGTAGAGGACAACACCAGCAGCACCAGCTCAAACGCTCAAACCACAAACCACAGAGCAGCGATGGGCAATGCCAGTGGCCAGACATATTAGTACTGTAAGAGCCACGACACCAAGCACCAAGCTTTGAGACTTTGAGAACCGAGAACACCCTGACAAGTAAGCTGACAACTGACAACCCATTATTATTTGATCGTACTAAAAGCTGTCGTAAGTCGTAAGTTCGCCGGGAAAACAGCTGGCAAACCGATGTCTTTGGTTCGCTCAGAGCTCCAAAATCTGGTCCCGGCCAAAGCTCACTACTGTACTGTACATACTAGGCTAGCTAGTACATCAATGAAGTCCTTCGAACTGACCCGACCCTGACTCATATTATTGTTTTACTGCATCCTTGGTTTCCAACCATAATTTTCTACATCGTCGCTTTGTTTGAAACCATGACATCGACTCAACCTGAAACCCTCAGCTTGGCATCTTCCTCACGAGAAGAGGGCGACAAGTTGGATATGGATATGTCATCGCAGTTTGGAGATGAGCTCGACAACCAAGGCACGAAGGAAAAGTGCGAGGTGAAGAACCTCACCAAGGAAGAAACCAAACAGATCTGGATTTGGAAGATCCTTGTGCTTCTGCTCCTCGTTACCACCGCATCACTGGTGTCTGTGGGAGCCTATATCTTTCTAGACCGGGAAGAAGACCACAACTACAAAACCAGCGTAAGTCATACCGAACTGTACTCCCGTAGCCCCACCCACTGGCAACTTGTCTCAACCCTTTGTTTGCTTTCGTGCTTTCTCTCCGCCACGCGGGTAGTATGATCAAGTCGTGCAAACCATCCAAGATGCTGCTGAATTCCACGCCTCCAATATCTTCCTATCCCTCCGTTCCTTCTCCGACACCATTACGGTTTCAGCCGATGCCCTAGGCGAAACCTTTCCGTTTGTGACAATCCCAACTTTCGAGGCCTTGGCAGCCCATGTTCGCTCCACCACTGGTGCAGAGATGATCAACTGGCATGTCAGGGTGGAAGAAGACCAGCTCGAAGAATGGTCCAACTACACTCTGTCCAACTACAAGACCAATCTAGCAATGAGCCGAGCTACTGCTCTCACATTGCAGCCAGAAGGTTCCTCTGTCAAGCCCAGTGACTTTGTGGAAGGTGACATTGCTCCACTCCCATACATCCCCAACTTTAAGGAGGGCGGGATCATCCTTGCTCCAACCTATGGAGAAGGCCCATACTTTCCTGCATGGATGGTGTCTCCCCCTATTTTCCATCCCTCCTTTATGAACAGTGATCCTGCACCCTGGGCTTTGAAGAAAGAGATCCCTGCTGCCATTGAAGCAAGGCGCTTGGTGTTGACAGACACCGTTCCTGTTGAGAACCTTGCCAACCGTGCCATCAAGCTTGAGGACCATGAAGCCTACCATGCATCATTGGTGGATTATGTGAATGAAGAAGGTGGGACTGCCTTTATGCATCCTCATTCTGCAGTCATGGTTCCCGTGTTTGAGAGGCTCCATGACACAGAATCAAGAATTGTTGGGACCTTTGCAGTGGTCATCCCTTGGGACCGCTACTTGGTCAATTTGCTTCCTGAAGGCGTTGATGGTATCACCTGTGTTCTCCGCAACAGCTGTGGCAAGGCATGGACCTATGATCTTCATGGCAACTCAGCCTATTATAGAGGGGAGGGAGATCTCCATGACCCCGCCTACACGCACACTGAAGCTGTCCTCTCATTCCGTGATCCCACCCTTCCAGATGATGCTCAACAAGTGCCAGGGGAGTGTGAGTATTCATATCACATTTATGCTACAAAAGATTTTGAGGACGACTTCAAATCCAACCTTCCTTGGGCTTTGACTTTGGTTGTTGCTTCAACCTTTGCCATTATGATTGTGGCCTTTATCATCTATGACCTGTTTAATAACAAGCGCAACAAGAAAGTGGTAGGGCATGCCACAAAGACCAATGACATTGTGTCATCTCTCTTCCCAAAGGATGTCAAGAATCGTCTTCTGGAGGAAGCGGAAGAGAAGAAACGCCAGCACAAGAAGGCCTTGGATCCTCTAAGCAGCTTCATGAACACCATGGACAGGCAGAGCTTGTCTGCATCGCGGGAGAGTGGTGCCAGCATGAACAAGCAGTCTGACCCAATTGCCGATCTTTACCCTAATTGCACAGTCTACTTTGCCGATATTGTAAGTACATGTGGACGTGTCTATTACAGGCGGCTTTGTTGGATGAATTGACTAATATTTGCTCCTCTCCTTCATCAGGCTGGCTTTACTGCCTGGTCCTCATCCCGGCAGCCAGTTGATGTATTCAGGCTATTGGAAGGTAAGGCATTCTTGGCTTGCTCCACACGTCTCTCCGACCATGCAAACCTCACCACCTCAACTTCTCTATCAACAGCAATCTATTCAGAGTTTGATCGGATCTGCAAACGTCGACGTGTTTTCAAAGGTATCCTTGACCAAAACCAAGTCAGCTCACCAGTCAAAACAAATCCCATGGAGCTAACACCTTGTGTGTGTGTTCTTCCTTTCGCTACAGTTGAAACTATTGGAGATTGCTATGGTAAGATAAAGTCCCTCCCTTGTACCAACACTAAGCACCCTTGGCATTCCCACTGACTGTCTGCTGTTTCTTTGAACATCTGCATTTGAAAGTTGCCATTACAGGCATCCCTGAGCAACGCAAGGACCATGCAGTGTCAATGGCTAAGTTCGCTTGGGACACACGGGACAAGATGCGTGAGGTGACCAACCGTCTGCGGGATACACTTGGCGAAGACACAGGTAAATCACAATCACGTGCAGTTGTAACAGGATCCTCCCAGCTGGCGCACACTCATTTTGTGTATGTACGATTCTTTCTTCCTAGGAACCCTGGATCTTCGCATTGGCTTACACTCAGGTCCAGTGACAGCAGGAGTCCTTCGGGGAGAAAAGTCCCGCTTCCAGGTAGGTTGTGCAAAGGTTATATCATGCTCTGCTCGAGAGACGCTCCTCAAACCTTGGCTTTTACTTCATTCCAATCCCATAGTTGTTTGGTGATACAGGTATGTTCTTCGACGTTGGAACAAGGCAAGCGATGATGATGTGTTTGCTCACATCCAAACTCTGGTTCTCTTTCAGTCAACACAGCAGCCAGGATGGAATCCAATGGAGTCAAAGGGAGAATCCAGCTGTCTACAGCCACGTCAGATTGCCTACGTGAACGAGGGAAAGGCAACTGGTTGACTGCCCGTGAGGACCTCATTGAAGCCAAAGGTAGGGTCGCGGAATGTCGGTTGGTTTGCTGTTGGCACCTTATCAAGACGTCGCCCTGAACCTCTTTCTTGCTATGCTTGCTACACCCGTCAAAAGGAAAGGGAAAGTTGCAAACATTCTGGCTGGAGAATGTGCAGAAAACATCCACCGACTACACACGAAGCAGCATTGCTAGCGGCGACGACTATTCCGAACGTGATCCCTCCCTCCACCAATCCTCCCTCCACCAATCCTCGTCGTTCCCCACAGCGGATAAGCGCGAAAGCAAGTACGAAGCGGAACTGGACGTCTAAGCTTCCTTCTGACAACCACCGGTACAGGCGGCTGTGCTCCTACGCTTTTGGGGTGCAGTCTTTCTCTCTTGGGTTTCTTGGATATTAGGATAATTGATATAATCGATGCATGTTTACTCGTGCTCCTAGCTGCTCTAGCTAACCTTTCGTTTCCGTCTTGCAAAAACCTTTTTAGAGGCTCATGCCTCACCTCACTTTTAGACGAAAAGAAACAACCTGTAGCGAGAGAGCCTCTTCTTCTGGACCATTTCTCTCGTGTCCCCCAGAGCTCGATAGCACACTGATCTGGCGCAACATCAGCAAGTACCGGTAGGCACCTGCATTCAGGGAGCTGGTCGAAACAGCAATAGAGACAGCAGGGGCAATTCACTTCTAGGCAGTCGGCAAACAAGGCTGTGCCAGAGATATCGGTAGCTATCGATGGCAATGCAGAAAGTCGATGGGATATCCCCTGTCAGGCTATTCTTGTCTATGCGCAGGATGTTCAGTTAGTTCAGGAAAACATATTCATCGGGAATCGTGCCGGTCAGGCGGTTGTCATTCACCAGCAACAGGTTTAGACAGGTAAGGTCCCCCAAGTCAGGTGGCAATGGTCCCGTGAACATGCATGTTCTCAGACAGATCCAGACGTTCCAGATTGAGCAAGTTTCCGAGGGATGGCAGCCAATACCATTATCACTGATATCCAGATCTCAAAGGTTGGTAAGTGTGGTATTGTCGCTCGACAGGAGCTGTGCCACCAACGTTGTTGGATGGCATCCTGAAAACGTGCAAATTGGTGAGGATAGAAGCAGCAGAGGACCTGGAGTTTGGACGTTGTTTCCACCACTGTTGTCGTTGTTGTTATTGCTGGACAAGTTAACCGCAGCAAATTATAAATGAGAATGCCAGCACCAATTCCAGCCAAAAGCAATGTGATGCAAGCACCAATGGCGCAATTAAAACTTCTGACCATGTATAGCTACTGACGTCCTTTCATAGATTCTTTGTCAAGGTCGACTACAACCAAGACTGGCTTTTGAATTTATTTGGTCTTCTTGTATTGACCCGATGACCTTGCTATGATGCTGAGGTTGTTCTTGGCTCTCATCGGATAGCTATTAGCAGCGTACCAGTTCCATGACACCTAACCGTGGCTGCTGAACACACAAAACATAAAAACTTGGTGCCACCACGCCACGAAAGGACCAAATCCTGAGCCCTAATGTTGGGGTCGACGGTTTTATTTTGTGGAGCGTTCGCCTTGACGCCACCTTGGCCATCGCCGTGGACGTGCCATCAGCTTATTGATTGGAACATACCAGTACTGTATCACCATGACCACTAGCACTTCTTTGATAGCCGACCGTGATGATGAGACTCGTTCCTTGGTAGACGATCCATCTTTTTCTGCCGAGAAAGAAGACTCATACGGAGGCACAACAACAGACGATGATCCTTCGATCCTCCGAGAACGCCGCAAATCGACACCGGAGGAAACCGCCGCAACACTGACACTGATCAAGGAGCGCAATACCGTGTACAATCCCAAATGTTTGTTTCACGCCGAAGCCTGGGATGACGGCACGGCCAGTATTGGCAATGAAATATTGAACTTGGTCAAGAATATTGTGGGATCGGGAGGATTGTCACTGCCGGCTGGAATGGCCGCCTTTGGCAATCAATGGACGGCCGTGTTTCCCGCCTTGTTGGTGATTCTTGCCATGGGAGTGTTGAATGCCTACAGCTTTTCCTTGATTGGTCGGGTTTCGGCAGTCACCAAATCCAAAACGTATCAAGAATGCTGGGATCGAACCGTGGGGCGTCGTCATGGAACCAAGTACAACATTTGGGTGGGACTGGTCGTCACAGGAAAGGCGATTCTGGGTTGTTGGTCGTTTTCGATTGTCATTGCGTCTACATGTACACCTCTGGCTAGAAGCTTGGGGTTTGATTGGACCAAGACAGAGACACTGGTGGGGATCACTCTAGTGGTCCTGTTGCCTCTCTGTCTGCTGGAAAGACTCAGCTCTCTGGCCATATTTTCCTTGATTGGACAAATTGGTACAGGTAAGCGGCTGGGGAGTGAATAGGAGCAAGCAAAAAGACACAACAATCAGCAGACCGCTCATATCTTGTGTTTTCATTTCATTCCATTCATTCCATCTTCCAGGTGTCACAGCTTGTACCATGATTCTACGATACTTTGATGGCTCGTACCGTGAAGGAGGTCGCTTCTACGACGATCTACCACCCGAGCATTTGCCCCAATTTGGAACCAAGGGTGCCATGTCCTTCTTTTCCCCACAAGCACTCATTCTGATTAGCATTCTATCCACGGGCTATGTGGCCCACTACAATGCTTCCAAGTACTACTACGAACTCCGGGATCACACCACGGGACGCTTCAACGTGGTCGTCAATGCCAGTTTCTTTTCGGCGGCCATTACCTACATGTGTATTAGTACGCTGGGTTTTCTGACCTTTGGAGAAAACTCGGCTGGGTTCATTTTGGACAATTACTCGTATCGCGATCCATTGGCGGCACTGTCGAGATTCGGTGTGGCCCTATCGGTCATCTTTGCGTATCCGCTGTTGTTCCAAGGAGGCCGGGATGGACTGTGGGACTTGCTCGGCCAAACCAGCAGCAGCAGCAGCTGTTCCAAACGAACCACGACAATCCTCTTGTTGAGTACCGTCACAGTTCTGGCCATTGTCGTTAGTGATTTGACCTTTGTGTTGAGTTTTGGAGGTGCTACTCTGTCTTCGGCCATTATTTACATCTTTCCACCTCTCATGTTTCAAAGCTTGGTTTTGAACTGCACTTGTGTGGCCACATATACCAGCAACTGGGAAGTGAGAGAATCGGAAATCATGATGTGGGTTGGTGGAATCCTTGGAGTGTGTGGAGCTGTCGTGACGGTCGTGAGGACCTTCTTTTAGAAGGGCTGTATACAGATCGAATTTAGTCAAAATCAGGGCTGGCTGGTGACCCCGCCACCACATTATTCATCCGGTGCTCAGAGCTAGCAATATTCGGCATTGTCTTTGGAGGTTCAAAGAACAACGATTTCATAGCACACCGTGCAGTAATTGTATTGTATTGTGTTTAGCAGAGTGCCGCTTGACGCTGCTAGTGGAAGCAGATGCATCTGGTGCTCGGTTTTACTGGTACCGGTACCCTCAATCAGTTCAGCCCAACTTCAGCTATCTGGGCAAGAGACCATAGTACGGCATGCTCGAGCTCTGACGGACTTCGGCGCTTATGCAGTTTGATGCCAACAACGACGCACTCTAGGAGGTCAGAGTACGGTAGGTAGGTAGATAGTCTAGTCTAGCCAGACTTTATTCCAGCTAGCTAGCACCTAGCTAGACCATGCAAGATCCGATTCCAGAGGTCTTCCTAGATAATCTTCTGCTCTAAACCCTGGTCTTGTGTAACCCACCGGTACCTGGTAACAGGTACCATACCGTAAATGTACTCCAAACCCCCATTCCTCAGTGCTGCAGCAGAACTCTCAGGATGCCACAGGAATTCTAAGCTGTCAAAAACCGGCAGCGAGGATTGAGGAGACTTCTGAGCAACTGAGCCTCCCACAACCCAGGATACCACCCGATAAGGTTGATGGGCATTGGGCAAGGCTGGAACCTTCTGCAACCCAAATGGACGATGAGGAAGAGTTAATGGATATTGTGGCTGCCAGAAGCCGGGGGGAGAATAGAGAGGTGGAGCTCAGAAAGCTGGAAAAGTTAAAGAAGGCACAACAGAGAGAAGGCGAGCAATCAAAGAGAGAGGAAATGGGGTTCCAGTCATCGCAGCTTCATCCCAGCACAACAGGAGACATCTCCACGGGAGAGGAAATCAAAGAAGAAGAAAAGCAAGACAATACCTCTATTTCGAAGGCAGTACAAGATCAAATAAAGAATCATCCTCAAGATACCAACGAAACTCCTTCAGCAGAAGCTGGTCCAGAGGACGAGCTTGCTTTTCCACATCCAAAGGTGACTTGTGGGCAAAATCAGTCAGATGAAGCTACCATGCCTCCAGGAGCATATGCAGTGGCCCCCGGGACTGATCTCCAGAGAACCACAACACTCGGAGCTACTCCTTCTTCGAGTGTTGAGCTGTCTGTTCGTGATGATAGTTCGGATGAAGAGCTCAGACTGACAAGCGCAAACACAAGGAATCTAAGTATAGCAGATAATCAAGCCCCGACTCCCACACACAATATTAATGGATTGGTGGTGGCAAATCAGGTTGAAGAAAATGAAGAACCTACACAGATCGCTAGACCAGACAATTTGCACGGAGAAAACAAATCAACCTACATGACACGCATGATCCTTGTTCTCATTGGCAGCCTTCTCATCGTTGGAGTGCTTGTTGGTTCCATCTGCGGGGCTGGTCTCTGCAGCAACAAAAAAGAAGGTGATGTGAAGACTCAGGCTCCCACTTCCGTTCGAGATTTTGTTTTGGAGGACATTCAAAACAGAATTGAAGATGCTCTCGGACCTGACTATTTCCCCAAAAATAATGAAGCAGAACCCACCCAGCCAAAGTTCAAGGCTCTTGATTGGATTGTATTTGAGGATCCTCTGCAGCTCAATCTAGAAGCCAACAATCTTCTACAGAGGTTCATTGTGATATTAACTTACTTTCAAACATCCCGGGAGAGTGAATGGCTTTATTGTGGGCCATCCACAACTGCAAATGAAGAAACATGTTGGATTCCAGATTTATATGGTTCGGAATCATTGACAATTCGGTGGCTCACAGGTGTTCACGAATGTCAATGGGCGGGAATTTATTGTGACACCGAGAAGAACATTACAGGGTTGTGGCTTTGTGAGTTCTTTTCTAATTTTGTTGACCACAACAAGAACCAAACTGCATGATTCCTGTGCTTATCCTTAGCTTGCTTTTATAATCAGGGGACAACGGATTGAATGGCCCTCTGCCCACAGAACTTGCAAATATTCCAGCACTGGAATCAATTAACTTCGAGGGGAACCAACTGACAGGAAGTATTCCTGTGGAATTGTTTGGAAACAAGCTCTCCTCATTACAATTTGCAAACAATTCACTAACAGGGACAGTGCCCACAGAAGTTGGACTCTTTGATGGAACCTGGCTTGGATTTGGTTCAAACAGCTTGTCTGGTTCCATTCCCACCGAGGTCTTTCAGGTTGGGAAAGGATACCAGCTCGATATTCTTCTTGATGACAATATGGTAAGACAACCTTTCCACGGGAACGGAACCTCGGTGATCTTCAACTTTTGGTCAAGACCCTAAACTGTGATTGACCCAGCTCACCCTTTCCCTTTCCTTGCTTGTAGGTTACAGGTACTCTACCCACTGAATTTGGAGCATTGCATGGAGTTAGTATCCTCAGAGTCTACTTGCAAGGGAACCCTTTATTCGGAACCATTCCATCGGAAATAGGACTTCTGAATGGCTCTCTCTATGAACTTGATATCAGTCGGACCAATATGGATGGTTCCATACCAGAGGAACTCTTCACCAGGTGTACCAACTTAATTTCACTTGAGGTCTCCAACTGTGGCTTGACTGGAACAATCAGCACTGGCCTGCAGCTTTTGACACAGCTACATACCTTTGACATTTCCAGAAACAAGTTCCATGGCACCATCCCAGCACAGCTTTCTGCTCTGACAAAGCTACATCGGTTTATTGTGAATGGGAATGACCTTTCTGGTTCCATTCCATCATCTGTCTGTGCTTTGGCTGACCCCACAAAGGACATATTTGAAGTGGCAGCTGACTGTTTGCCAACGGATGGCACTGGTAATCCTATGGTAGAGTGCTCTTGTTGCACTCTCTGTTGTGATGGTGATGCTGCTGACTACTGCCTTCCGGTCTAGGGTGTCAGTGACAACCCTGGGATAAATTGGCTTTGGTGTGTTGTCTTGGAGAATGCAGCATGCAACGAGAGATACGGTACGCTATCTCCCAATCTGTTCAAATGGCCACAAAGACATGTACAAGTATGTGCGGTTGTAAAAGTAAGGGTGACGAGTCCAGTCCAAATCGTTGCATTGTTGCGACCCTCCTGTACTAGCAGTCCAAACATAGTTCAAAAGTTGAAGTTTACAGGATGGTTGGATGTTGCTTGGGAATATTGATCAAAGAAACATCCGTATTCCCATCTTTGCACCTGTTTCTACTCTAGCTAGTCTCTACAGTAAAATTAGGGGTGCAACTCGGGGTTTTCCGATCCCCGCGATTTCCAAAATTATTGTTCAACAACCCCTTGCTAGCTACTCGAGTAGGCAAAATTAGGGTACGGTAAAGGTATCTGCTCCCCATGAAACTGGGAATACAACCGTGTACATGGAGTACCAGGCTCTACGTGTTACCCTGTCTTTCCTTATGTTTGTGGGTGTTTCTACCTTTCTCGACCTTCCAAGCTGACTGGAACATCGAACGACCGACTGGCTCGCTGGAACATCGACACTGGTATGAACGAAGCCTCACTGAACACAGACCATCACTGAACGACCGAAGGAACACAAGAAGACTGACCCAACCAAGTCAATCCAAGCAAAAGATCGCAAGTCACTCGGAACTCGCAAAGCCCGCTAGCTAGCAAGCTACTAGTACGTGATCGGCATCAAAAAGAAGTAGACAGACTAATCGACTCAGGTGACGCAACTGTTACAATACCGAGAGAGACAGAGATGAGCGTAGTGAGCTCATATAATGGGATATCTCAGAGGAGATATAGAGAGTTGTGTTTCTGAATTAGAGGAGACTATCATATCTATCACGATATAATTAATGCTCCTATTGCTCGCACAGAAATGTTGTGGACATCCTGCCTACGCGACGTACAGCTGGAGTCACTACACTACTGGCCTGAATGTACAGAACCAGAATCTGGAGTGGACGGAGCACACTGGGTGATTTATTTTTGGAGGAGTACCAGAGCTATAATTCGCTCCACGCCAGGTTACTTCGTGGTACCTGGAGAGGAGCGATGCCCGTGGGTGATATCAAATCTGAACGTATTGACACAGAGCGCAGAAGCGATGAAGCACACTCTAGTGCGCTAGCACACGGCACAACCAAAGAGCGTATCCACCAAAGGCTTGCTTCGGTTCCTGCAAGGTAAACGACAGACAGAGCCTAACCTGGTACCAGATTGCCGCCGTAGGGACGAGCGATGACCACCGGGGTACTCGCGGCCGCGATGCAGCGATGATCGATGTCGTTAGATGTTCTGCGCGAGGTGGCTGAGATGAATGAAACAGGTAGGAGTTTTCTCGAGCGTACAGATAAAGGCAAGCATGACTCCTATGGCAGTTCACGAACCTACGCTTAGGCACGACCCCGCAATAGCAACAGAGTAATGAATTCTGTTGGACCAGATGTATCGATCATGCTGAAGCATGAGCACCAAGGGCTTTGCCCGGTGGTAGTTGACCGATGGGAGTGTTATAGAAGCAATAGACCAATTTACGTAGCAGTATTAGAGCTTGGCGAGCGCGATGGATCCATTGTTTAGCGAATCAGAGGGTGATGAATTCGAGCGACATGACCAATAGGATCCATCAGTTGATTTATGATCGAATAAGTAATCAAGGGGATTGCTTATCGGGAGCGAGACCAAGAGATAGGGATCCTTATTGAGATACGATCGTATATATAAGAACAGAGAGATGCATTTAGAGCGAATCCAGGGGATCACAGGGGATATGCTTCGAGCGAATACAGTCGAGAAAAGGGGTACCACTTATGATAACAAGGGATAGACATATAAGAATAAGAATGAGTAACATCTCATACCTCGCATGCTACCATGCGAAATACCATGTGTACTGATAATCTAACGATCTAAGAGATGTAAAGTTGTATTTCCAAATAAGTGAGCAGTTATTGATTATTTCTAGAATAACCTGCAATTTAAACTCATAAAGCTGAATTAAGTACAGACTGTATCCCGTCCGCACTGAAATCCTGCGTTTGGCCGCGTCTCGCCGCAAGGGCCTACAAACCTGTACCCCCAGCGCCACCTTTCGAAGAAGCCTTTCAAACTCTACGAGCTGTGGGACGAGTGATCAAGGGCTGAATGGCAACAAGGCGCTTGCGAGTTTACTGCTCGTGAGCGCGGCCGCGTCAAGGACAAGTTCTGCGCCGCAAGCATGTGGGACTGTGTGATTCGGTGATGGCCAAGGGCTTGATTGGAGGGCGCGGTCGACCTTATCTATGCCACCTACGGGTTGCTTACGGTCACCCAGATCATCAACAATTCAAGCAGACAAGAAGAATCAGCCACCGGCATCCACCACGCTTGCGTTGAGCTGCCTTGGTGGTACTCAGCCTACAGCGCGATCCTGCTGTAGCCATAGCAAAAACAAATTTTATTGTTATTAAGAATATTTTTGTGTTACTGCTTTTCTTGTTGTGTTTTGTTATCTTTTTTGTGATCTGCTGGATTTCCTCTTTGCCGTTCTGACTTCGCGATTCACGTGCTTTTCGACTTGCGAT